TGCATTTGCTTCTAACAAAATGGCGGCTCCCAGTCAAGACGATCTTATCGATAATCAAGATCTTTATTGTGATAAAACGTGAAGTGCATCAAATCACGTGAGCACCTTGATTAAAAACACACAAGGCAGTCAAAACGTTTTTCTACATGCAACAAAGCTACGACAGCCTTAAAAAGCAAGTTGTCTTTTAGGCAAGTCTTTGTTTCCTTTTCAGCGTTTTCTCTCACCTGTGTCGTCTAGAGGTCTGTCGTCGTGGTAATGTGCGGGTACTGTTACCTGTAGCTAATCCCCTTCAATCATATATATCCCACTGATAAGACTGGCATCACCTCGCGTGCAACACCAGAGTTACACTTATCCCCGTGTTGGGGCCTACACGGAAGCTTGGAGACACGAATAGGGCATTGGGAGCACACGTTGCTTTCGAATAAATCGGTTTCATCACCCAAAGAATCTATTAAGTGTTAATTTGGGTAATTTGAACCTTAACTCTTATATGCCACGTTATTTACTAAAGCTACACATGGTGCTTGTTTCACCGTTCTGTGTTTCTCAAATAGAGATCGGATTTCCACCGTTTATGATAATATACCGATCCTCGCGAAAGTCAAATTAATCAAACAGACGAAGATTTCGAAACGTTATGGCGCCGTTTTAGTCAAATAATTAACGTTAATATTTCTTCTCAGCTAAATTAGGTTTCGATGAAGTTTCCGATCCTGCTTGGTGGATTCAAATCTCACATGGCTGATTTGGCAGCCATTTTGGAAATTGGAAGTGGGATTTGCTTTGTAAATGATGGTGGTCCAAAAATGTCGTTCTTCGTGTCTTATATGCATCAGTGGATGTGAAATTTGGATGGCATACTATGCTCTTGTCATGTACAGGTAGGTGAGTGAATTATAATCATTTTACGCCGCGGGGTATACCAAGCGTAAGCTCATTAAAAAGTACGCATACCCATTTGGGGTATCGAACTAGTTTTGTCCGAAAATATAGCAAATGCTTTAACCACTGGGTAACCAACACATAGATTTACACAGACTGTTAACTGATTTAGTAGCTCATTTAGACAGAGAATGAGTGAGTTAGGTCAAACGCCGCCTTGAGCATTACTTCAGTTGTAACACATCGTTTCGGATGTGAGAGGAAGGCCCGAAGTGGTACCGTGCATGTCTTAGCTGTTTACAAATTAGATGAAACCCAAGAATACGGACATGGTGCTGACAAACCTAGAAACATGAAATCAGGGCGAATCGGGATTCGAACCCACGATCAAAGGGTTCTGGCATGCCAAAGGGACGCAACTCTGGAAGCACAGCGGAATCGGGCGCACCAGACGACTAGGACCCCATTCAGACAGGTTTAATGGCGTGGGATTGAGCTATAGAAGATTCTTGAAATCTTCTGCCGGTTTTCATTTATCTTATAGAGAGCTTCCTGACTAGACGCGTACATGCATGTATAAACGTTACTATAAATTAATACTAAAGGTGACGTGTGAAGTCTGGAATCTGATCAAATGAACGGCCTTTGACCGTGGCTGCATCAGTGTCAGATAATTTTGAAACTTCGTAGTTTTAACAACTTCTTTTCGGTAGAATATGTTCATTTCAGAGACAAGATGTTAGACTAGGGCGGCCACCTTTTTGCAAAATCCACATATATCGTGACGATAATAGGTTCCTTGATTCGTTATATCGACAAAAATATTAATCTGGGCACTTAAAATTAATACGGCACAATTCGGATTAACCAGGTTTCACTGTGTACGGTCAATAATCTGTCATTGAAAGTTTTGACCAAAATTAACCATCAATCTTTTAGTCCGTTTTTAACATTCCGGAAGTGAGATAGTGATCGTTCCGCCCCCGCCTCTCCAAAAAAAGCATTACTCCGAGTTCTCCATCACGTGTCCAGACCGTTGATGGTCCTTCTTGGTCCGGTGAGTCAGCCCCCTGACTACTGCGGTCGACCTGTGTCAACACTCTGCGCCACAAGACAGCTCCCCTCGTGGAAATTTCTCATAACTAAGCGTTAATAAAGTGGCGGGAAATGTAATCAGTCTGATCGATTTTGGTAACTTGAGGGGAGGCCTGCAGTCACAGCGGGCACGACTAATATTAGATTTTAATGAAAACGTGACTTCTGGATAAGATGACCGGCACGGGTAACCTAGTCAAAATTAGAAGCAGGCTGAACGGATTCGGTGTTATATGCTCGACCCGGCTGATAAGAATCACTTTGAGGATCAGATGGTCATAAGGGCTGATCCAACTATGGAATGGATGGTTAATAATATCCAAGTAGATTTATAGAATTATGGAGGGATTTCCTAGCAACACAGCTATGTTGAGAACATGATGCATTTTTGAATGGAATACATATTTTTTTCTGAGTTTAAACATTGATTATGGACCATTGCAAACGCTGTCGTTAGGGGGGTGTAAATCAATATGGAGACTATATACCAGGTTATGGTCAGTGATAAAATATCAAGTGAGGTGAGCGAGTGAATATTGTTTTACGCCGCAATATTCCAGCAATATCACGGCGGGGGACACCAGAAATGGGCTTCACACATTGTACCCATGTGGGAAATCGAAGAGGGTCTTCGGCGATGAGCGAACACTTTAACCACTAGGCTACCCTACCACCCTCGATTGAGGTGGATTCACGGTGTATTTGACAGTATTTTTGTACGTAAGCTTGATGTAAGGGCAGAATGTCGCTGTTCACAATCGTTCAACCACTATGGTGAAACCCACGAGTATGATAATATGGTAGGGACAGACCAAGGGTCATAACCGAGGCGAATGTTGGATTAGAACTCACAATTTGCGGATCTATACCATTTAAGGGACGTAACTCTGCACAAATCCGAAATGACCCAACAAACATGAATGACTATAGTAGTGGAGCAAAATGTTCATGGAATCTTGGAAAGTGTTTAAACTTTCACAGAAGGGTTGTGTATAGTGGTTTATGTTTGTTTGTTTGTTGTTTAACGCCGCACTCAGTAATATTCCAGACATATGACGGCGGTCTGGAAATAATCGAGTCTGGACCAGACAATCAAGTGATTGACATCATAAGCATCAATCCATGCAATTGGGATACAATGACATTCATCAACCAAGTCAGCGAGCCTGACCACCGGATCCCGTAAGTCGCCTCTTACAACAAGCATAGTCGCCTCTTAGGACAAGCATGGGTTGCTGAAGACCATGGTAAACCCGGATCTTCACAGGTCCTATCCATTAGCATAGGCATGGAGTAACAATAACCAACAGTTCATGACGAGGGCATCTTGGAGTCATCATCGCACACTGTGGACCATCGTTGTAGGATCCGGGAGCCCAGTGTTACATACTGGACCTTATATGTACATTTCGTTTGTACCTTAAAGGCAGAAATGTCATTTTTGACTGTTTGACCATCCGATCCCGTTAGTCGCCTCTTACGACATGCATAGTCATATTTTACTTCAAGCATGGGTTGCTGAAGACCTATTCTAACCCGGATCGTATTGTGTACCTGTCGTCTGATCATGACATTGTTTCTAATTCGATCAGTCACTGGTTTGCCTGGTCAAAACACGATTATTTGCCACCAGATACTGTTGGAATATTGCTGGCTATAGCGTGAGACGCCTTTCATTTAACAGTTCCCATAACATATCCAGTCTTGTTGCTCGTCTGCTGACATGTCACATCTATCGTGGCAGCCATGTTGGAAATGGCATTTGAGAACAGCGAATCCGCTTGTTCATGGGATGTGCCAAGCGTATCACAGACGTGGTTTCACATCTGCGGACGCAGCATAGTTGGACGAAAATTACATGAACGCGTGATTTTACAGCGCTTGTGGCACCGTGCCAGGTGGCTGAAACACCACCGTCACGCGGCCGACAACTGCAGATGTTCGACGGTGCATTGATTTGAAAATTTGAAACTGATTTAATTAATTCCAGTGTCAGTGTCCATAGTGCATATAGGCTAGCGTATCACAAGCATGCGGCCCTCCATCTCCTCTTCAGTTCTGCTGATGAAGCTTTGTATATAATACAGTGTGGTTGATTACCAACGTGGCTGGGGTCCGAGATTAAAGTGAGTGAGTGAGTTGGGTTAAACGCTGCTTTTAACAGTATTCCAGTTATATCACCGCGTGTGAGCTTAATGTGGGAGGAAAGCCCGAAGTGATGCAGGTCTCAGGCGTTTACCACTTCGGTGAAATGCACGAGCACCGTATGGTGCTGACAAACCTAGAAACATAATCGGGGCGAACCAGGATTCAAACCCACAATCATCGGATTCTGGCATGGCCTAGGGACGCGACTCTGCACAGCGAATCGCGGCGCCTTAGACGACTGGGCCACTCGTACCCCCCCTCTCTGAGATTAAAGCTCCAACGGCAAGATCAGTTTATGTTTCAGATTAGAACTGTTTGTTTGTTTGTTTGTTTGTTGATTAATGCCACTCAGCAATATTCCAGCTCTATGACGACGGTCTGTAAATAATCGAGTTTGGACCAGGCAATCCAGTGATTGACATCATGAGTATCGATCCACACCATTGGGATACGATGACATGCATCAACCAAGTCAGCCTGCCTGACCGCCTGATCCCGTTAGTTGCCTCTTACAGGAATAGTCACCTTTTGCAGCAAGCATGGGTTGCTGAAGATCTGATCTTCACCGGTCCAGGTTAGAACTGAAAGGTCGAGGTCATCTTCCTGAGGCAAGCGGGTCTACCAGCCTTTTTATCTAAATTTTGTTTCCACCCTTGCCACACCATGTCCACTTTCCTGCGCTGAATATGGTTGGACTATCGCACATATTGATATGCCATGGTTGTGTCTTCAGCAACCCATGCTTGTGTCTTCAGCAACCCATGCTTGCCCTAAGAGGTGACCACGATTGGGTGGCCAGGCTCCCTGACTTGGTTGATGCATGTCATCATATCCCAATTGCATATATCTAATAAAGAACAAACTTCAAATTGATTGAAATATATTTTATGGATAGTGTCACAATAATCTGCATATCATTGTAAGCCTAAAAACAATAGATTCTTTACTACGAAAGATTGCAGATTGGTGGCTTTTATGTGTCTTAAATATGAATGTTTTATAGCAGAAATAGAAGGTTAGAGCCTGAGAACTAAGTTTTTTCTATCAATTCTTGTATCGTTTTGATTTAGTCTTTTGTTTCCAGCTGTAATCAGTAATATTCCAGCTGTGTCATGGTGGGCGTTAAATAATCAATACTGACAAACCAGTGGTTGATATCATGAGCAACATTACATGTTCCAAATCAAGTCACCAAGTTGGCCACATGTGACCAAATATAGACTCTCTTTCAGGTGCTGGGGACTTTTTACAGTGAGTGAACAACTTACAACTTTAAGCTAAGACAACCGGGGTCTACAGAGACATACTTATGACAGAACCAGTGGTTGATATCATGAGCAACATTACATGTTCCAAATCAAGTCACCAAGTTGGCCACATGTGACCAAATATAGACTCTCTTTCACCTGAAAGAGGGGACTTTTTACAGTGAGTGAACAACTTACAACTTTAAGCTAAGACAACCGGGGTCTACAGAGACATACTTATGACAGAACCAGTGGTTGATATCATGAGCAACATTACATGTTCCAAATCAAGTCACCAAGTTGGCCACATGTGACCAAATATAGACTCTCTTTCAGGTGCTGGGGACTTTTTACAGTGAGTGAACAACTTACAACTTTAAGCTAAGACAACTAGGGTCTACAGAGACATACTTATGACAGAACCTTAGATTGATAACGCCAGGGGAGACTTAAAGCCCTGACTATTTGATCATGATCAATAACGATATTAATTCTGACTGGGAGTGGTTTTGGATTCTCTTCTTTATCTCCGTTATCTTACTTTTCCTCACATCAGACTTGGAGTTGATTAACTTTTCTCACAACTGTCTAACTTCACGTTTTCACGTTACAATTTCAGGCTTTCATAACTATACTACTCAAAAATAGTTAGGGATCACCCAGTTATTTCATATTACTATAGTTAATATCAGGGGTAATTCTAGGGTGGGACCTTGTGCTTTTAGCCCCTAAATTTGAAAAAAAGGCCCACATTTTCAAATACAATGGGGCATTTTAACATTGTGCTGTATGGGCGTACCTCTGGAATATTCAAAATTCTCCCATAAAGGTCCCATGTCAGAAAATTACTTTTGTGAACCCTGTAATATGTTTGTTTGTTATTTATTGCCGCACTCAGCAATATTCCAGCTCTATGACGGCGGTCTGTAAATAATCGAGTCTGAACCAGACAATCCAGTGATTGACATCATGAGCATCGATCCATGTAAATGGAGTACTATTAAATGCATCAACCAAGTCGCTTCTTACAACAAGCATAGTCGCCTTTTACGGCAAGCATGGGTTCTTAAGTGATGGCATGACAGATTAACTATACTAATGTTTTAAAATAAGGGTGATCCTAAACTTGTTTTGAGTAATATACAATGCATACAGCTGAAAAAAAGTTAAGAAGAGTTTACTACACATTTCAACATAATTTGCCATTGCCTTAAATTGTGACCTGTAATTTCCTGACATTTGTTTTGCTTACAATGCTATTGACAGTTACATACCAAATTTGGTAATGTCATGACATCTTTTGTAACTGTTCCATGGTGCTCCAACTGGCTCCTTGCAACCCGTGAAGATCCGGATTAGACGAGGTCTTCGGTCACCCATTCTTGCTCAAAAGGCGACTATTCTTGTCGTAAGAGGTACCTAACGGGATCGGGTGGTCAGGCTTGCTGACTTGGTTGATGCATGTCATCGTATCGCAATTGTGTGTATCAATGCTCAAGATGTCAATCACAGAATTTTCTGGTCCAGACTTGATTATTTACCGACCGCAGTCATATAGCTGTAGATTGCTGAGTGAGGCATTAAACAACAAACAAACACTACCTGCAGCCACCTGGAGTATCAACATGATCACTGTCGTATGTATATTAGGCAGGTATTTCCACAAGGCACATGGGTTCAAGACTTTTTTCTTTGTTTGTTTGTTGCTTAACCACACAATCCAGTGACTGATCTCATTAGCATCGATCAATGTAATTGGGATACGATGACATGCATCACCACAAGTCAGCAAGTCTGACCACCCGATCCCGTTAGTCGCCTCCTACGACAAGCATATTCACCTTTTACTTACAGATTTCACAATGTCTGGACTGGGCATTCTCAGCCGGTCTTAGCATAGTTAAACTGTTGAGGAGACACTGCTTGACTCGGCAGTTGGTTGTGCCTTGGTTTCCCAGCCGGCTGTCAGGTGACAGAGCTGACAAGAGTTAGCTCCCTTCCTCCTGGTCTTCCAATGAAAGAATAAACTGCCACTCCTCTGCCAACAGAACACATGTGCAGCGTGAGAGGGTTTCACTTGTATATCAGGGTGTGTCAGCTTGATCATGTAAATGTGGAAGGAAATTATGTGACACAGGCTGTACGTTTTCCATCATGCTGAAGACTGCAGGCATGGGTGGGTGGGTGGGTGGATGGATGGATGGATGGGTGGATGAGTGGTGGATGGATGGATGGGTGGGTGGATGGATGGTAGGGTGATGGGTGGGTGGATGGTTGGATGGGTGGATGGATGGGTGGATGGATGGGTGGGTGGATGGATGGATGGGTTGGTGAGTGGATGGGTGGGTAGGTGGGTGGTTGGGTGGATGGGTGGGTGGATGGATGGATGGGTGGATGGATGGATTGATGGGTAGGTGGGTGGTTGGGTGGGTGGGTGGATGGATGGATGGGTGGGCAGATGGATGGATGGATGGATGGATGGATGGGTGGGCGGATGGATGGATGGGTGGATGGATGGATGGATAGGTGGGTGGATGGATGGGTGGGTGGATGGATGGATGGATGGATGGGTGGGCGGATGGATGGATGGGTGGATGGATGGATGGATGGGTGGATGGATGGATTGATGGATGGGTGGGTGAGTGGGTGGATGGATGGGTGGGTGGATGGATGGGGAGGTGGGGGTTGGGTGGATGGATGAGTGGGTGGGTGGGTGGATGGTGGATGGATGGGTGGGTGGATGGATGGGTGGGTTGATTGATGGATGGATGGGTGGATGGATGGATGGATGGGTGGATGGATGGCTGGATGGGTGGGTGGATGGGTGGTGGATGGATGGATGGATTGATGGGTAGGTGGGTGGTTGGGTGGATGGATGGGTGAGTGGGTGGATGGATGGATGGGTTGATGGATGGATTGATGGGTAGGTGGGTGGTTGGGTGGATGGATGGGTGAGTGGGTGAGTGGGTGGGTGGGTGGATGGGTGGTTGGTGGATGGATGGATGGATGGATGGATGGATTGATGGGTAGGTGGGTGGTTGGGTGGATGGATGGGTGAGTGGGTGGATGGATGGATGGATGGATGGATGGGTGGGTGGGTGGGTGGGTGGGTGGATGGATGGATCGATAGGTGTTTGTGTGGATGGGTTGAGGCAGGGGACTGACACACCTGGGATCATAATATGAGAAAATCTGGGATTTGAATAAAACAATTAGAGCTCTGTAGCTTACTTTCCTGGATTAATATATTCGATCCTTGCAAAAAACACAAGAAATAGCAGTTTCTGAAGAACCACCACCACAAAAATACATATTGGCACATGCAGAACTGACAATACCTACATACAGAACCAGCTATACCTACATGCAGAACTGACTATACATACATACAAAACTGGCTATACCTACGCTTGTACATGCAGAATTGGCTGTACCTACATGCAGAAGTGGCAATACCTATATGCAGAACTTGCTTTAAATACATGCAGAATTGGCTATACATACATGCAGAATTGGCTATACCTACATGCAGTACTGGCTACACCTACTTGCAGAACTGGCTACACCTACTTGCAGAACTGGCTATACCTACATGCTGAGCCGGCTATACATACATGCAGAACTGGCTTTATATACATAGAACCAGCTAAACATACAGAACTGGCTATACATACATGCAAAACTGGCTACACCTACATGCAGACAGAGCTATACCTACATGCAGAAGTCGCTGTACCTACATGCAGAACTGGCTATACATGCATGCAGAACCGGCTATACATACATGCAAAACTGGCTATACATGCAGAATTGGCTATACCTACATGCAGAACAAGCTATACCTACATGCAGAAGTGGTTGTACCTACGTGCAGAACTGGCTATACATACATGCAGAACCGGCTATACATACATGCAAAACTGGCTATACATGCAGAATTGGCTATACCTACATGTAGAACAAGCTATACCTACATGCAGAAGTGATTGTACCTACGTGCAGAACTGGCTATACCTACATGCAGAACCGGCTATACCTACATGCAAAACTGGCTATACATGCAGAATTGGCTATACCTACATGCAGAACAAGCTATACCTACATGCAGAAGTGGTTGTACCTACGTGCAGAACTGGCTATACCTACATGCAAAACTGACTATACATGCAGAATTGGCTATACCTACATGCAGAACAAACTATACCTACATGCAGAAGTGGTTGTACCTACGTGCAGAACTGGCTATACCTACATGCAAAACTGACTATACATGCAGAATTGGCTATACCTACATGCAGAACAAGCTATACCTACATGCAGAAGTGGTTGTACCTACATGCAGAAGTGGCTGTACATACATGGAGAACCGGCTTTACATGCATACAGAACTGGCTTTACATGCATACAGAACTGGCTTTACACATATACAGAACCAGCTTAACATACAGAACTGGCGATATATACATGCAGGACTTGATTGTGGAGAAAATTTAAGATATAGTATATTATAGTACTTATTTGGACAAACATGAACAGAAGTTTGGATGAACGTATCCTGTTTCTGATAATAATAACATGTTTGAACATTTAAATATAAATTGCCACGCCACAATGTCTGTTGCGGGCTTCATTGGAACGTTTCCGATTTACTTGTTTCAGGGTCTGTGTGAGAGACAAGAGTAGATCATGTTATGAAGGTGGATGACTGGGAATAGAGAGATGATTGGGTCGTACCTTCTCTCAGAGGTTGCACTGACAGTCTGGCCCTGGTGAAGAGAGCCACGTCCCGAAGTGGCCCCCCCTTCTGCTTGTGTTCCTGGTGTATGGCCTTCAACTCAGCCAGTGAGATGAATCTCTTCAGGGCCCTGTTGTACTTCACGTCCACCATGAACCAGCGAGGGTCATCTGTGCTGGCCTTGCTGGGAAACAGTGAGTGAGTGAGTGGGTGAGTTTGAGTGAATGAGTGAGTGAGTGAGTGAGTGAGTGAGTGAGTGAGTGAGTGAGTGAGTGAGCGAGTGTTTGTTTGTTGTTTAACGCCGCACCCAGCAATATTCCAGCTATAAGATGGCGGTCTGTAAAATAATCGAGTCTGGACCAGACAATCCAGTGATTTACATCATGAGCATCGATCCATGCAATTGGGATCGATGACATGCATCAATCAAGTCAGCGAGCCTGACCACCCAATCTTACAGGCCAACTATCATCGCCATCATTTTTTTTGTTTTACGCTACAGTAAACATAATGCCAGCTATATCACAGGGTTGTGTGAAGCAATCAAACCTGGACCAGACAAACCAATGACTAATGTTGGGAGTTATGTCCAATGCCTTTGGGGTCCAAGACAAGCAATCAACAAAGTAATTGAGCCTGATCATTGAGTCTGATTACCCAGTTTGTTCAGTTACTTCTTTCAACAAGCATCAGTTATTAGGGATGTCAAAAATGAGCATCACATTCTGTTTGTTTGACAAATCGGGTTCAGTTGGGATATAATGACATGCATCAACAAAGTCAGCGAGACTGACCACCCGATCCCGTTAGTCGCCTCTTACAACAACCAAGGTCGCCTGTTACAGCAAGCATGGGTTGCTGAAGACTTTTTCTACCCCGAATCTTCATGGGGGTCAAACCCTGGGCCATTGGTGTGATAAGCTGATGCTTTAACCACTGAGATATTCATGAGTTATATTTAAAGATGCAGTAATGGTGGGATGTCGAATGTACAAGGAGTAGTCTTGCATTTAATCATCCCACAAGTACACTATAGTCTGGAAGGTAATTTAAGGTACCGACGTTACTACAATATCTGAAAAACTATCGGACCTACTCCAGTCAAAGTTGGTGTGAGATTATTAAACAGTCATACATAACTGGATATTACATTTAAAGAACATCGGTGCATGAAAAAAAAATCTGTCTATTTAGCTGTCACTATATTTCATCAACAACCAGACCTGTTTCGTCACGGGTTGAACGAGCATTCATTGAAACAGGCATCTGCATAATGCTACCCATACGTCATAGGGCCATATGCCACAGCTGAACCAATCAACTCAACTCAAAAGGGTGCATGGGAATCACACACGTTGAGACGCCCAACACTAACACCGTATTCGTGCATGCATGATGCTGACAGGTACAGCCTCTACACATGCACCAAGTCTCTAGCCTCTAACCAAGTTCATGTCCAAACATTTCCCACCCTACCAGCTCCTCCTCACCTGTCATAGTGGACGTCCTTCTTATCAAACTGGGTGTGGTCCGGGTAGCTCTCCCTCACTATCTGCCAACAGATCAGGACCACCATAAGAAGCAGCTCCACACTGCATCTTGAAAACCCACCATTTATCCAGTCAATTAAACCCACCACTTATCCAGTCAGTTAAACCCACCACTTATCCAGTCAATTAAACCCACCACTTATCCAGTCAGTTAAACCCACCACTTATCCAGTCAGTTAAACCCAACAATTATCCAGTCAGTTAAACCCACCACTTATCCAGTCAGTTAAACCCACCACTTATCCAGTTAATTAAACCCACCACTTATCCAGTCAATTAAACCCACCACTTTATCCAGTCAATTAAACCATACATTCAGCCATTCATTTAAACCTACCACTTATCCAGTCAGTTAAACCCACCACTTATCCAATCAGTTAAACCCACCACTTATCCAGTCAGTTAAACCCACCACTTATCCAGTCAGTTAAACCCAACAATTATCAAGTCTGTTAAACCCACCACTTATCCAGTCAGTTAAACCCACCACTTATCCAGTCAATTAAACCCACGACTTTATCCAGTCAATTAAACCATACATTAGCCATTCATTTAAACCTACCACTTATCCAGTCAGTTAAACCCACCACTTATCCAGTCAGTTAAACCCACCACTTATCCAGTCAATTAAACCCATCACTTATCCAGTCAGTTAAACCCACCACTTATCCAGTCAATTAAACCCACCACTTGTCATGTTAATTAAACCCACTACTTATCCAGTCAACTAAACCCATCACTTATCCAGTCAACTAAACCAAACAATTATCCAGTCAATAAGCAACTTAAACTCCCTTAACAAATACACTTCAGGTCTATTCCAAGACAACTATCCTCCTACCTGCATCAACCCGGCAATGCCAGGCTCCCTAAACAAATACACTTTAGGGCTATTCCCAGACAACTATCCTCCTACCTGCATCACTCCGGCAATGCCAGGCTCCCTAAACAAATACACTTCAGGTCTATTCCCAGACAACTATCCTCCTACCTGCATCACTCCGGCAATGCCAGGCTCCCTAAACAAATACACTTCATGTCTATTCCCAGACAACTATCCTCCTACCTGCATCACTCCGGCAATGCCAGGCTCCCTAAACAAATACACTTCAGGTCTATCCCCAGACAACTATCCTCCTACCTGCATCAACCCGGCAATGCCAGGCTCCCTGAACAAATACACTTCAGGGCTATTCCCAGACAACTATCCTCCTACCTGCATCAACCCAGCAATGCCAGGCTCCCTAAACAAATACACTTCATGTCTATTCCCAGACAACTATCCTCCTACCTGCATCACTCCGGCAATGCCAGGCTCCCTAAACAAATACACTTCAGGTCTATCCCCAGACAACTATCCTCCTACCTGCATCACTCCGGCAATGCCAGGCTCCTTACAGTTGCTGTGGTAAAAGAAGGCAGACTGCCCCATACGCATCTGGTCTCGCATGAAGTTCCGGGCCTGAAAATAAATACAGGAATATAATACAACTGACAAACAAATTTGCGAGTGAACTTCATTCCCAGTCGGAGTAACAACGCAAGGTACCAGCTTTCATGTTAACACAATCAGGTACACCTAATCTGACCCAGAATCCTGACAGGGTCAGTTCTACGTAGATGCCAACATGAGCATAACATAGTGCCAACTTGGGGAACACTTGCAGTTTAGTCATCATGTTGAAAAGTGAGTGAGTGAGTTTGGTTTTACGCGGCTTTTAGCAATATTCCAGCAATATCACCAGAATGGGCTTCACACATTGTACCCATGTCGGGATTCAAACCCGGGTCTTCGGCGTGACGAGCGAACGCTTCAACCACAAGGCTACCCGACCGCCCCGTATCAGGTAGCAATCAATCATTACCAGCATTATCACACTGTTAACACCGCTCTGACTCACCTGATAGTTTCGCACTCCATCCCAGCATGCAGTCTGGTCAGGGCATTTCTTCAGGTCCTCCAGGCCAAACTGAAAACATGTCAGTCGTGGTCATGACGTGCAGATTTCGGTCAACTGCAGGATTTGCAAAGCATGAGAACTGCCAACATGGCGTCACTAGATAGTTTCCCAATCTTTTCATGTTTTTAATCAAGGTGCTCACTTGATTTGATGCACTTGGCGAAGGAAGACCCATATTATCATAACATTATCATAGATTTTGATTATCAATCAGGTTGTTTTGCCGCATTTTGTTGGAAGCGAATGATATATGTATCTATTCTCTTCTGTCAACTAAAGTCGTTTCAAGGTGTCAATAACGGTAATCTGACTGTGGTTGCTGTAAATCATGGTTAGTAATGTGATCTATTAATCACTTCACACATGATTTCGGTGAAATTAATGTAAACAATATTGAATGAAATCTGGAGTAAAATTAATAAAATAGGTTACAAACTTTAGTCCAGATGTACAATGAACACTTTTTGTAACCAGTCAGTGTAATAATATTACATGATTAATTTCCGTACTTCAGTACGGATTTGTTGACAAGGTATTTCTGGTGTTACATGCTCAAGGTAACGTCTTTGTGCTGGGGAAAAAACATCAGAACCAATGATGGCCTGTATAATGTGCACCCCATCTCAGGCATCTACTTCACCCCGATTATGTTTCTAGGTTTCTCAGCACCATACCCGTGCTTGTGGGTTTCACCGAAGTGGTAAACGCCTGAGAACTGCATCACTTCGGGCTTTCCTCCCACATTAAGCTGACACGCCGTGATATAACTGGAATAGTGTTAAAAGCGGTGTTAAACCCAACTCACTCACTCACTCAGGCATCTACACAGCGTTTTTGGGGGGAATAAAGAGCGCACCAGGTTTAAGAACATACCCTGTTTATAAATCAGAATATAATTTTGGGGAAATATGTCTGTAAATGAGTGTTAGACCGTACCTCTAGCTGTGAAGCGTATCTGATACGTTTTCTAAATTATCCCCACCGTATCATGCATATTTTCCTCTGTACATACGCAGATACAGCCTTTATCTGGAGCCCTGAGGTAACTCCCTTGCCCCGGGAAGATGGGCGAGTGGCGGTAATCAATAATATGACAGATGATCTGTAGGATCAAAACAAATATAGCCAATGACAGATGAAAAAAACCCAACCGACAGCCAACATTCTGTTCCAAGTTTCATGTATTCAGTGGCTCAAGACAAGTGTCCAAAATAACTGTCTGCTTGCGGCTGGTGACCTTTTTGTCAGGCTGCATGAAATTTTCATCACCTCCTAATGTCTGGCAGATAATTTTAAAACTACTTACGTATTCAGTTTTATCACAACTCCTCGAAGATTCTCAAGTAATTGTTTGCAGTATTTCAACCGAATTAGGGCAGTATTTGTCTCATACAGTTGACAGCAATCCATTATTAACAGTGGATGAAAGGAAGTAAATATGCTTTCATTGGTCAGTCTAGTCTTAATTTTAGTGTAATGGGATTGATATTAAGACACGTACATAATCAGAAATAATTCTTAGGGGCTAGAAACGGTACGCAAGGATACATTAAATTCAATATTGTCTGAATGTGGGCAGGTAACCTTGAAGATAGGCATGCTACAGTTATTGGTCACCTGCCTGACTGTCTTGTTAGGTTATTAAATTATATAAAACCCTGGCCCAAGAGCCCAATTTTGTCAACGTTCTGTCAAGGTTCACATACTGTAAATCTTGAAATTAATGCACCTCCAAATTAATACGACTAGCCCTTAGCCAAAAATGGAACTCAAAATCAGTGTGACTCCCTCCACCCCATACCCAGTGGAATGATGCATATCCTTACCTTAATCCAACCAAACACCAAATAGGGCCGCTATTAGCACTGAGTAAAGCACTTCCGTAATACCAACAGACAGTGATTTCCTTACAACACACAGTTCATTTGTTTATTCTGTTGATTGGCATGAAGGACGTTCAAAGGCAATAAAATAACAGTTCACTGTTTGGAGTAGTCAATGATCCCTAGTTTGACACGAGTGGGTAGAACTCTTGACCCCAGCTGTGATAACTCACCGGATGCTTATTGTGTAATTCCTATTCGTTGAATGACATTGTTATATACTATACTGCTGCTCAATAAACTGTGTTTGTGTTTATATTCAAGTTGGTATTTCAGCTGTCCAAAGTGTGCAGTGAGGCCGTCTTATTGTTGAAAGTCGTTTGGAGACATAAATGTTAAGTTTCATTAATGAGAACAAAGACCACTCGGTTTTTTCATATTTAATTCACACTCACGTTAATTTCAAGATTTACAGTATTCATACAGAGAGGTATCACATCAGAGTTAAAGATCTGAAGATAATGAGATCATACCAACTCCTTTAGGCATGACCCTAACCATCACATCATCTCCTTTCTCTATATCATGTCACCTGACCTGCTGTTACCTGACAGCGATATTCGAGTTCAATGACGGCAGTCTGAAAATAATCAAGTCTGGGCCAGGCAATCCAGTGATTGACATCATGAGCATCGATCTACACAATTGAAATTCAATGACATGCATCAACAAAGTCAGCAAGTCTGATCACCCAATCCCATTAGTCGCCTCTTACGACCAGCATAGTCGCTTCTTACAAGCACGGTTTGCTGAAGACCAAATTTTCACAGCATTCCCCATATGTAATCCAACTTTGACATCCACTCATACCTCCATTTGTGACCATTATTTTCATGTCACCTTCTTTCTCCATATTTAACCCTAACTTCTTGGCAACCCCTTTCTGAATGTGTGACCCTAACTTCTTGGCAACCCCTTTCTGAATGTGTGACCCTGAAATTCATGGCAACCCCTTTCTGAATGTATGACCCTGAAATTCATGGCAACCCCTTTCTGAATGTATGACCCTAACTTCATGGTAACCCCTTTCTGAATGTGTGACCCTGACATTCATGGCAACGCCTTTCTCCATATCTAACCCGAACTTCATGGCAACCCCTTTCTGAATGTATGACCCTGAAATTCATGGCAACCCCTTTCTGAATGTATGACCCTTACTTCATGGCAACCCCTTTCTGAATGTATGACCCTGACATTCATGGCACCCCTTTCAGAATAAGTGACCCTGACCTTCATGGCAACCCCTTTCTGAATGTGTGACCCTGACATTCATGGCAACGCCTTTCTCCATATCTAACCCTAACTTCATGGCAACCCCTTTCTGAATGTATGACCCTGAAATTCATGGCAACCCCTTTCTGAATGTATGACCCTTACTTCATGGCAACCCCTTTCTGAATGTATAACCCTGACATTCATGGCACCCCTTTCTGAATAAGTGACCCTGACCTTCATGGCAACCTCTTTCTGAATGTGTGACCCTGATATTCATGGCAGCCCCTTTCTGAATGTGTGACCCTGACCTTCATGGAAACCCCTTTCTGAATGTGTGACCCTGAACTTCATGACAACCCTTTCTGAATAAGTGACCCTGACCTTCATGGCGGCCCCTTTCTGAATGTGTGACCCTGGCAACCTCTTTCTAAATGTGTGACCCTGACCTTCACGGCAACCCCTTTCTGAATGTGTGACCCTGACATTCATGGTCTGAATGTGTGACCCTGACCTTCATGGCAACCCCTTTCTGAATGTGTGACCCTGAACTTCATAGTGGCCCCTTTGTGAATGTGTGACCCTGACCTTCATGGCAACCCCTTTCTGAATGTGTGACCCTGACGTTCATGGCAACCCCTTTCTGAATGTGTGTCCCTGACCTTCATGGCAACCCCTTTCTGAATGTGTGACCCTGACATTCATGGCAACCCCTTTCTGAATGTGTGACCCTGACCTTCATGGCAACCCCTTTCTGAATGTGTGACCCTGACATTCATGGCAACCCCTTTCTGAATGTGTGACCCTGACATTCATGGCAACCCCTTTCTGAATGTGTGACCCTGACATTCATGGCAACCTTTTCTAAATGTGTGACCCTGACGTTCATGGCAACCCTTTCTGAATGTGTGACCCTGACCTTCATGGCAACCCCTTTCTGAATGTGTGACCCTGACGTTCATGGCAACTCTTTCTAAATGTGTGACCCTGACCTTCATGTCAACTCCTTTCTCCATGCGGGTCTCTGGCTCTGACTTCATCAACCAATGAGTGAAGACTTCTGGTGGTGCAGTTTCTGACTTGGACTTCTTCGGCTTCTCATTCTCTGGGATGGAAAACGAAACGATGCTTAACACCATTAGAACAGATTTCCTATTTGTTTTAGTTTACTTCTGAAAGAGAATCTCCAAAATAAAACATAGTTTACTAAAGCCAAGATAATAATCCTTTGCTGCACATTTAAAAATTTGATGCAAGGAAAATTCCACCATGAAACAATCTCATTTGTGGCAAGACTTTCGCCCGTATCCACCCTCCAAAAGTTATAGGCCCCATGCATTGCTGCTCAATCCCTTTTAATGATATACATTTTTGAGAAGGGATACGGATGGAAGTCTTACTGCTTACCAAATGTTATTCAAAGCTTCATAGTCCTATCTTCTGATGCAAGGGAGTCAACTGACTGTAAAAGTCCAGTTTCCACCCTTGCCGAACTAGGCTGGAATTTAGTAGCTTGATGGTAGCGCCACCAGTGGCTATTACGAGTTATGTCCCTTCTATATGTCCCTCCTCCTGACCAATCAGATTCCACCTCTCATATCATTTGCATTTGCTTCAAACAATATGGCAGCGCCCAGTCAAGACGATCTGATTGATAATCAAGATCTTTGTTATAATAAAACTCTTGCGAAGAGCATCAAATCACTTGAGCACCTTAACGACAAAAAAGATCTGGAAAATATCTGGCGACGCCCAGTTGACGGCACATGCTCTGCAAATACCGCAGTCACTGTTGTTTATGAACGGGATGCTGAGTTTGTTGCACAATTTTTATTAGACAATGCATAGACTCGTTAGTCCGCCAAAATTGTAACTCCAGCCTATATTTCACTAAGGGTGGAAACTGGACTTTTATCGTTTATCTTTTATCTGTTTATAGTCAGTTAACTCCTTTGCCTCGGCAAGATGCATAGTCCATCTGTTATTGTTTTGAAAAAAACAACAGTCATCTATATTCCACTGCTATATAGCACTGCAGCCAGTAAATAACTGACTACCCATGATCGGCTTGACAAACCAGTGCGTGACATTATGAGTAACATTACATCCGGGTACATTGACATGCAATCAATGATCCAAACCCGATCCAAATTTGTCGTTCAGCTATGACAAGCAATAATTCTGCAAGAGATTTCGAGTATCCTGTGCGTTCCTGTTGGAAATTAAACAGCGTCTTACCAGATTTTTGTCTGCGTTTTGGAGGCATGGATGACTCCCTCTTTAACGAGCTAACTGAATGTGTTAAACTGGGATACAAATTCACACATGCGATTTTGTAAACATTAAAATGACACAACTTCCCGCGCTATTGATACACGTCATTTCCGACCGGATATTCTATTGCGCATGTCTGTACCTTGCATTCCAAAATGGCGGTGTTGCGTCCTTTGCGACAGACAGGGCAGAATTCTTGTTGAATATCTGAAAACAGCCTGTGTATACGTTATGATTGTTGAAGAAACTAATTGGAACGTGATACATCGACATCTCTCTGCACCTATTCAGCAATTGGTAACTGACTTTTCCATCTGTCGTTTGATAATTGGCCGTTGTTATGGACTCGGGAGTTGGTGTTATAAAACTTTGATAACATGTCCGTATCAATTTTACATCGTAACCTAATACTGATATGTAAATAAATGTGTCGGAATTATTGATGTCTTTAGAACTAACTGATGTACCATTTTTATCGATGGAATACTCTGTTTTGTGTGACAGGACTTACAAACCTTTTGATTTGAGATAAAGGCTACTAGATCTCGTAGAAAGCACCTGACAAGATTATTCCATAAGCCAGCTGTATTATGATGTGTCTTGGGCCAAGTGAGTTTGAAGCCTTGAATTCTAAGGTGTCTCTTGAAAAGCCTTGATTTTCAGTGTCAATCTTGAAAAGCACCAAACCAGCTTGAAAAGCCATGAATTCGTACAAATTGACATATACTTTTTAATCAAAGTATTAAAGCCCCAAAAATATGTATCTAAGATGTTTAACATGTTTAAGTGAGATTTATCACAGTGATAGATCTGAAGAATTCATGACAGACTTAATCATTGAGTGTGCATATGCTCCTCTCAGTTATCTACCATCTCTACACGCAATGTCGTTGAATAAGTCCAGCAATGTTGAAATTTTTTAATAGTTTGTGGCCAGTTTATGAAAGCAATATATATTTTCAACATATTTTTTATTTCGTTTTTTTTCATAATTCTAGTGGCTAAAATGATTGTAAATGGGAACTAATATTATATATTATTTGTTAGTTTCATTAATTTTCATCATTATGCACAGCAGTGCAGTTTATTAGGTATATTATATTGGCACTGAACACATCCAAATGTCGCCAGTGTTAGGGCAGGTTACCCCAAACTCTATCCTTAGCCATTGGATCCTCTTTATGATCAATCACCCCATTACGATAATTAGGGTTAGGTACCTGTTTAGTGGCTATTAGATTACCCAAACTCTATCCTTGCCCTTGGATCCCCCTTACGATCTATCAACCCTATCTTTGCAATCATTAGGGTTAGGTACCTGTTTAGTGGCTATTAGATTATTGGCCTATTATTATTATGAGTGATGCCAAATGTATAGGCTACGTCACATGTGGTGAGTCGTCAATCATCCAACTCATCTCATGTATTTTCAGGGTTAGAAATTAACACTAGCCTGCTAGCCGGGGGCTATTTAACGTCTTCTCCTTCGAAGTCTGTTCAATCAGCTAGCAAGGTGACAGCATTGACTTTCTGTGATTCCAAAGGATTCCTACTGGTGGACTACCTCCAGAAGGTCAGACCGTTAATGACCAGTATTATGCAAATTTGCTCTGGCAGCTCTCTGTGAATGTCAAGGCTAAACATCGCTAAGGATGTGTTGTTCCGGCTGGACAATGCACATGTGTGTTGTCGTCATAGCTGCACTGAATGACATTGGCTTTCAACTCATTGAACATACTCCATATTCACCAGATTTGGCACCATCTGATTTCTGATTGGAATATTTTGGACATTCAGGAAATGGTGGTGATGGGTCTGCTGGTGATTTTGTTGCAAACCTTTCTCATAGAATCTGATGCTGCAATGCCACAATCCAGAGCTGAAGAATATAACTCTTCAATAGATATTGGAGCTTTGTGGCAGGATGTGGGCGTGTCGCTCTCCTGTTTCCATGATAACCTGTCTTGAGTGTAGCTTTTTATCTCCCCGGCATATAATGCTGTGGGATATAGTCGATACCTCATCTGTCCGTCCGTCTGCAATCATTATGTTTCCGGAGCGTAACACGAAAAATTTTCATTATTTTTCAATAAAACATGGTATAAACTATATGTATCAAACAGATCCTGAAGTGGTGCATTTTGCTATTTGCAGATTTTTGGCATGTTTATTTTTCTCAATTTCCTTGGAAATAATTTGGACTTGGTTTCAAAAGGGAGGAGTAGGTTTCCAAAGCACAACTTGAAAATCTGAAAGATTTTTCCTCCAAACCTGGTAAGCTTTTCAGGAATGCTTTGATTTTGATTCTGTTCATAGTGGTGTGTACTTGACATAGATACTTCAAAGTTCCGAATCCTAATTCCATTGTATTGTTTTGATAGCTCAATAACTACTCTTGTATATGGACAGACAGATTAGATAGAAATTCTCTCATCATGTTGGACTTAAAGTAACTGTCAGATGATTTCTTCTTTCAAAATTTGTGGGGACTGGGTGATTTGTCTTCTTCTGATGACTCGACCTGTGAAGATCCGGGTTAGAATAGGTCTTCAGCAACCCATGCTTGCCGTAAAAGGCGACTATGCTTGTCGTAAAAGGCGACTAACGGGATCGGGTGGTCAGGCTCTCTGACCTGGTTGGAGCATGTCATCAATCCCAATTGCTTGGATCTATGCTTATGACATCAGTCACTGGATTGTCTGGTCCAAACTTGATCATTTACAGACCGCCGTCATTGCTAAGTGCGGCAACAACAAACCAAACTAAACCTTCTGATGACTCGTTTCTTTGCCCAACAAAGTATTTTCAGGATAGCTTCATAATGATTGGCATTATCATATCAATTTTCAATATGTACCAGTTACATTCCTGATACTATCTGAGATCTGCAACCCAAGATGTATGAATTGTTTCATAAGCAGTTGGGGAAAGCCATGCTCCAAATAGTAAGCTGTGTATCTGCTTTAAATACGTAAATTAAATCTCCATTACCCAATTAATTTTGGATTGTCAGCATCGGAATGTGAGTACCAAATAGTTTAACAATAATGTCTGTAATTGCTGAGTGTAACCTTTTCCGCTTGCTTATCTGTATTGATTTATTGATTGATTTGAATGGAGCTATCATATTCATGAACTTTACTGCAGTGAATAGTGCACAAAAGCATTACCTTTTTTAGTGGATGGAATAAATTAATTAGTTTAGCTCACCTGGCTGAAAGTCAATATGCTTCATGCAACGTTAGAAATTGGCACTTGTCCTGTAGTCCTTGCCAAACTGCCAATAGTTAAGGTATAATAAGGACCAGTAGAAATTTGCCCATTTTAAGGGTTTTCCTATATGTTATCATTATGAGGACTAGTGGGCCAAAACTGTTAGTTTCTATCACTGCTTCATGCACTGTTTCCCATTTTCTGTTTTGTTCTAGACTGTGTGACGTGAGACGTTGCCCCTGCAGAAATCAATTACTAGTACTTCTAAATTGATGTAAATTATAACATCGACACTGGTCAGGGTTTCGCTACACACAAAACATAGCATCCTATACTCCAACAAACTGAGAATAGATGCAGTTAATTTACATCATTGAGATTCTTGTGGGACACAGAAAATGTGTGGTTGTTTGAATCATTTAACAGTGCTAGAAACTAACACATTTAGTCCACTAGTCCTTATAATGATAACATTTAGCTGCTCAAAACCCTGAAAAATGGCAAATTTCTACTCGTCCTTGTGATACCTTAACTATTGGGCAGTTTGGCACGTACTACAGGACTACTGCTAATTTCTAACACTGTTTAATTTATAAAAATTTATGAAAATTCCATCTGACTGCTGTAATCTTTTGGTTTTCAGAGCACAATTTGAAAACCGTTCAATAACTTTCAACGAAAATTGTCAAATATATCAAACAGATCCTGAAGTGGTGCCTTTTGCTATTTACAGATTTGGGGCATTTTTATTTTTCTTCATTTTCATGGAAACAATTTGTACTTAGACTCAAAAGTGGGGGAGGGTAGGTGTTGTTTCCGGAACACAACTTGAAACCGTGAAAGACTTTCCATCCAAACCTGGTACATGTATTAACCAAGGGCTGAAGTGGTGACATTTGCTATTAAGGGCGGTCGGGTAGCCTAGTGGTTAAAGCGTTTGCTCGTCATGCCGAATACCCGGGTTCAATTCCCGACATGGGTACAATGTGTGAAGCCCATTTCTGGTGTCCCCCGCCGTGATATTGCTGGAATATTGCTAAAAAGGGCGTAAAACCATACTCACTCACTCACTGCTATTTAGGAATTTTTCAAAATTGATTTTTCCCTGTTTCCATGGAAACAAGTTGAAACGGCAGCTGAAACAGAGGTAGGTGTAGTTGCCAGAGCAGAACTAAAAAACTTTTCAACATTTTTTGGGTACAAGTATTAAACCAGGTGCTGAAGTGGTGCCTTTTGCTATTTAGTAATTTTATAAAAACAAATATTTTTCCTGTTTCCATGGCAACAAGTTTGAATTTGACCCTGTTCATAGTGGTGTGTTTGTCTGGACCGTATCTCTAAAATTAATAGGTACACTTTCTTGAAACTGTGCACACACAAAGACCATGTTGTGAACTGGTGCCTTTTGCTATTAATGGATTTTCAGAATTTTATATTTTTTTCTGTTTCCATGGAAAAATGTTTGATTTTGACTCTGTTCATAGAGGTGTGTACCTGACAGAGAAATTTCAGAATCCCAATTCCATGGTATTGTTTTGATAGCTCAATAACTACTCTTGTATATGGACAGACAGATAAGATAGAAATTCTCTCATCAAGTTGGACTTAAAGTAACTGTCAGATGATTTCATCTTTCAAAATTTGTGGGGACTGGGTGATTTATCTTCTGATGACTTGACCTGTGAAGATCCGGGTTAGCATAGGTCTTTAGCAACCCATGCTTGCCGTAAAAGGCGACTATGCTTGTCGTAAGAGGCGACTAACGGGATCGGGTAAACAGTCAGATGATTGGTTCTTTCGAGTTTTTTTACCGGGGTGGGGGAGATTTGTCATATTCTGATGCCTCCTGTTATATATAACTGACAATCATTCCTAGTAAGAAATATTAAAACTCTCAAACTTCAGGGTGTCAGTGGTAGATTTTCTTCAGTCTAACTTTGACATCCCCATCTGTACTAGGCCTAGGAGCATGTACAATAATATGACATCAATAAAATTCATGGGAATCAAGCAAAGCATTCCACATGTTGCCCGTCTGGGATCTCATGTTCATGCCTTGGATCACAAAAAAGTTATAATTTTGAACCTCGACTCAAATAAGATGGATCCAGTAAATCTGTGACTAGGAGACATATTTTTATAGGGCTGGGATGGGGCGATACACCAACGGTGCGCTCCGGTACATATCAGGAATACCTTGCTCACGATCCGATACGTATCACGATACACATACTTGCTTGTGCTCTTACCTGTGGTGCGTAACCCATCGCTTCCACAAACAGGATGGCTTAATACCTGGCACACTGACAATTTACAGTTTTCACTACTAATTAGTGTTTGGTGAAACAGTTATTGAAGCAAACAGTTAAGGTTAAAATCAATATTCTTCACTTAGTTTGTGACGTGATATGTGTCAGTGTATTGCAACGTAGACACAATTTTATGGATAACAACTTCTTTAATTCTGTAAAAAGCGACGTTTCAGGGTTAGAAGCTAACAGTTTTAGTCAACTAGTCCTTACAATGATAACATGGAGGAAAACCCCTAAAATGGACCAATTTCTACTAGTCCTTAGGATACCTTTACTATTGGGTAATTTGGTAAGGGCTACAGGACTAGTGCCAATTTCTAACGCTGCGTTTTGGTATAGATCCTTGTCAATCAAGACTGAATGAGGGACATTGTACAGAATACACATAGTAGGTGGAGGATTAACAGTAACAACAATTGCATACATGAGACTAACATCTAGTCTCTGAAATGAACATTTCGTACAGAAAAAACAGTTGTTCAGTTATCTTAATAAAAAATATTATAAAAGAGAACCCAGTAACTCTCTTCATTTTCAGATACTGCAGTAATCTAGACTTGCCAAACAGTATAGACTTGCATGGGCTGTATTTGATATATATTTGTATCAGGGTCTGTAAGACAGACTAACTTGAGTGGGATAACATGAGTAAGTGTTGACAACAGAAGGATAATACTGTCACAACACGATGGACAGGGAACACATTGGTGGAAGCCAATGGGACATGAAGCCAATTAAACAGGATAAGTGATTATTGCTTAATGGGTTCATAGTAGGTAGATCATGTAGATGGGATGAAATAGCCTTGATCTCTGTTGATTGATGGCTTGTGGCGGCGAATGTTGACTGCTCCTGTCATGCTTATCAAACAATACATCTGTGTATTGTCCCACAAGCAGTAGACAAGGTTTTATGAGGTACTTGTATCCATGTTGAGGGGACTGCCAAATAACCAGATCCTAGCTCCCTTTAACATCATCACAACCATCAGGCCCACTTACCATGCTTCTTATTTCATTATGATACTTTGACCTTTGCAAACTTTGGCCTTTTAGTGGGCAGTTGAGTAAAAATTCCAGCAAGGACAGCGATATTTGATGTTGTGTGTGTTGGGGTTATCACTCTCTTAGTATTATGGAGTATGTTTCCTTAGTCGACTGTTTAATAATTACATTTAGCTTTCAGTAGGTAATGAAAAATGAATTGATTTCTGGATCAAACTTACATTTTTTTATTTCAGAGACGTGATAGTTCTTGTCATAAATCTGTTCTTAATTCTTAAGTTTAAGTGAAACCTAACATAAGTAATTATTGAAGCAGATCTTATATAAACCTGGGTAAGCTAGTATTTGAATTTATCTCCATTACTGTGAGGCAAGGACTGGTTTAATTCTTATTTTAAAGATTTTTTCGTTTAATATGCATGCTCTGTGAGGAGCTTTAGATGGTCAGGATTGTATAAAGGTCAGTGTTCAAGGATGGAAATGTATTTTCTGTGAAGTGTGCCTCTCATAAAGATGTTTAGAAGTGTCCTTTGACATTTAAGTGTGCCACAAGAACAATACTCACACTAATCCATCTTTCATCCCCGGCAAATGTCATTTCTCCATGAGCTACATTCCTTTTGATATGTGAAGATCTGGAGTAGAATAGGTCTTCAGCAACTATGCTTGCTGTTAAAGGTGACTATGCTTGTCGTAAAAGGTGACTTATGATGCTTGTCGTAAGAGGCGACTAATGGGATCAGGTTGTCAGGCTCTCTGACTTGGTTGATGCACGTCATCATATCCCAATTGTCTTGATCGATGCTCATGATGTCAATCACTGGATTGTCTGGTCCAGACTTGATTATTTACAGACCGCCATCATATAGCTGGAATATTGCTGAGTGCGGCGTTAAACAAACAAACAAACAATTGTGTCAAACACTGATGTTCAGTTGCAGGGAACTTAATGAAAAAAGGATTGAGGCTATTCTTTGAATTGAAAATGTCTTTTGATATATCTGAAGGGTACAAACCTAATTTCCTTTAATTTTTATTTTATTTTAGGTCAAGAAAAGACCATGAACAAGTAAATTAAAATTATTGATTAAACCATTTCGAGTAAGACAAGCATTGGCTGTTGTTACTTAAGATTGATAACTAGGGTCTATTTTCTTCAAAGCAATCGGGCTGTCAAGACTCTGCTTAAATAACACAGAGATAGTCATTGTGCTGAGATTGATTTATCTATAACTTGATTCAGTCAGAGAAACATGATGACTGACATGACTTGAGTGACCTCAAATGATAGACAGTAAGTAGATTCAGGCAGCGTAGGATATCGGTTACCATTAAACTTGGATGAGCTTGTGCATAGTCTCGCTATGATCAATGTGTTCCTGTACAGGCCACTGGACAAATATGTTTCATTGTTGTGTTTCCTCTTGCAGGGTCCTGTGGAGCGTTGTGATCTGTAGAAGGTGCTGTCAGGCAAATGGCCGTAGCCCAGAATGCTGCACACCTTACCAGGTGAGATTGGCCCCAATTAGAAGTGATGTCACTTGATGAACAGACGTCTTATGTATGTTACTGAGGACAAGGTAGCTAGGATCAGGGCCCTTTTTGATACATGGGTAGTTTGTTTTTTGGTTTGTTTGTTTGTTGTTTAATTCCGCACTCAGCAATATTACAGCTGTATGAAGATGGTCTGTAAATAACCGAGTCTGGACCAGACAATCCAGTGATTGACATTATGAGCATCGATCCACGCAACTGTGATATGATGACGTGCATCAACCAAGTCAGCGAGTCTGACCACCTGATACCATAAGTCACTTCTTACGACAAGCATGGGTTGCTGCAGACCTATTCTATCACGGATCTTCACGGCAGTATTCTTATGAAGATCATCAGATATGTGAATGAGAAACTAAACTTATTTCTTTCAACAATTGCATGTTTAGGACGACAGTAAACAATGCTAAATGCATGGGTGAGGATACAGTATGTCTAAAAGGCTGATTGTAGAGGTTTCATGATGCAGTGTTAATATTTGTACATGAGCTAGTGTTTGACACAAGCAGATTTTCATTGAAGATGATACATACAAACATTACAAACGTAGTAAAAATAATTCATCTTGGCTAACAGACTTGCTCATATATAGTACTTAGATTTTCATTTGAAGTTTTTAAAATCTGCCTTTTTCACTTATTTTAGTCATGCACGTCTCCTTGAACATGTCAGAAGTCCAAATCTTGCAGTTTTAAGGGGGAAAAAGGCTTGTCAGCCATTTGAACATATTTTCCACAACTTTAAAATTTAAAGTTTTCAAGTTGTTAAGGTATCATTGGGACTTGTAGGAAATTGCCATTTTTAAGGGTTTTGCTTTATGTTATAATTATAAGGACTAGTGGACTAAACATGTTAGCTTCTCACGCTGGTGGGTCAACAAGGGGCTCTTATGATATCAAACATCATCCAAGTACGAGGGGCACGGGTGGCCCAGTTGACTAAGGCGCCGGAGTTTGCCATGCAGAGTTGCGTCCCTTGGACACGCCAGAAACCTATAATTGTGGCTTCGAATCCCGGTCCGCCCCGATTATGTTTCTAGGTTTGTCAGCACCATACCCGTGCTCTTGGGTTTCACCGAAGTGGTAAACGTCTAAAACCTGCATCGCTTTGGGGTTTCCTCCCACATGAAGCTGACACGCCGTGATATAACTCTTTGGAATTGATTCAACACCAACTACAGAAGTTGGGCAAAAATGTGTTGATTTTCTGAGTGTACACCAGAACTGTAAGGTTTCATGTAATATACCATGTTATGTAGGTACACACTTTGTCTCGTGTACACCTGTACATAAATGAGGTCACATTGAAATGACATGTCTCCCATTGTTCCAGAATACCAAACATGGATCCCAACTATGAGCGTCCAAGGTCTGGGTTGGCTCGAGGTGTGCACATCACTCAGATGGAGGAGTCTCGGACCAACCCGGAGCCGGTCAGTCTGGAGGAGTCCGACTATCTCCTAGAGCAGTACCTGTCTCCAACAAAGCTGGTTAGTGTCTTGCATAATTTGTCTCCTTTCTTCCTGTCTGCCCTCGTTCTGCGTTCACCAAGATGTCGGGTAGACACAGTATCCAAATTGTCCGCAGCTCAGGGTGTCTGTCTCCCACCAAGATGGTCAGTGTCTCCCTGTCTCCCACCAAGCTTGTCAGTGTCTCCCCTCTCCCTGTCTCCCACCAAGCTGGTCAGTGTCTCCCTGTCTCCCACCAAGCTGGTCAGTGTCTCCCTCTCACTGTCTCCCACCAAGCTGGTCAGTGTCTTCCCTCTCCGTGTCTCCAACCAAGCTGGTCAGTGTCTTCCCTCTCACTGTCTCCCACCAAGCTGGTCAGTGTCTTCACCTCTCCCTGTCTCCAACCAAGCTGGTCAGTGTCTTCCCTCTCCCTGTCTCCAACCAAGCTGGTCAGTGTCTTCCCTCTCACTGTCTCCCACCAAGCTTGTCAGTGTCTTCCCTCTCCCTGTCTCCCACCAAGCTGGTCAGTGTCTTCCCTCTCCCTGTCTCCCACCAAGCTGGTCAGTGTCTGCCCTCTCCCCGTCTCCCACCAAGCTGGTCGGTGTCTCCCCTCTCCCTGTCCCCCACTAAGATAGTCGGTGTCTCCCTGTCTCCCACCAAGCTGGTCAGTGTCTTCCCTCTCACTGTCTCCAACCAAGCTGGCCAGTGTCTGCCCTCTCCCCGTCTCCCACCAAGCTGGTCGGTGTCTCCCCTCTCCCTGTCCCCCACTAAGATAGTCGGTGTCTCCCTGTCTCCCACCAAGCTGGTCAGTGTCTTCCCTCTCCGTGTCTCCAACCAAGCTGGTCAGTGTCTTCCCTCTCCCTGTCTCCCACCAAGCTGGTCAGTGTCTTCCCTCTCACAGTCTCCAACCAAGCTGGTCAGTGTCTTCCCTCTCACTGTCTCCAACCAAGCTGGTCAGTGTCTTCCCTCTCCCTGTCTCCAACCAAGCTGGTCAGTGTCTTCCCTCTCCCTGTCTCCAACCAAGCTAGTCAGTGTCTTCCCTCTCCCTGTCTCCCACCAAGCTGGTCAGTGTCTTCCCTCTCTGTGTCTCCAACCAAGCTGGTCAGTGTCTTCCCTCTCACTGTCTCCCACCAAGCTGGTCAGTGTCTTCACCTATTCCCTGTCTCCAACCAAGCTGGTCAGTGTCTTCCCTCTCCCTGTCTCCAACCAAGCTGGTCAGTGTCTTCCCTCTCCCTGTCTCCAACCAAGCTGGTCAGTGTCTTCCCTCTCCCTGTCTCCCACCAAGCTGGTCAGTGTCTTCCCTCTCACAGTCTCCAACCAAGCTGGTCAGTGTCTTCCCTCTCACTGTCTCCCACCAAGCTGGTCAGTGTCTTCCCTCTCCGTGTCTCCAACCAAGCTGGTCAGTGTCTTCCCTCTCACTGTCTCCCACCAAGCTGGTCAGTGTCTTCACCTCTCCCTGTCTCCAACCAAGCTGGTCAGTGTCTTCCCTCTCCCTGTCTCCAACCAAGCTGGTCAGTGTCTTCCCTCTCCCTGTCTCCCACCAAGCTGGTCAGTGTCTTCCCTCTCCCTGTCTCCCACCAAGCTGGTCAGTGTCTGCCCTCTCCCCGTCTCCCACCAAGCTGGTCAGTGTCTCCCCTCTCCCTGTCCCCCACTAAGATAGTCGGTGTCTCCCTGTCTCCCACCAAGCTGGTCAGTGTCTTCCCTCTCACTGTCTCCAACCAAGCTGGTCAGTGTCTGCCCTCTCCCCGTCTCCCACCAAGCTGGTCGGTGTCTCCCCTCTCCCTGTCCCCCACTAAGATAGTCGGTGTCTCCCTGTCTCCCACCAAGCTGGTCAGTGTCTTCCCTCTCACTGTCTCCAACCAAGCTGGTCAGTGTCTGCCCTCTCCCCGTCTCCCACCAAGCTGGTCGGTGTCTCCCCTCTCCCTGTCCCCCACTAAGATAGTCGGTGTCTCCCTGTCTCCCACCAAGCTGGTCAGTGTCTTCCCTCTCACTGTCTCCAACCAAGCTGGTCAGTGTCTGCCCTCTCCCCGTCTCCCACAAAGCTGGTCGGTGTCTCCCCTCTCCCTGTCTCCCACCAAGCTGGTCAGTGTCTCCCTCTCACAGTCTTCCACCAAGCTGTTCAGTCTCTCTGTCTCCCACCAAGCTGGTCAGTGTCTCCCCTCTCCATGTCTTCCACCAAGCTGGTCAGTGTCTCCCCTCTCCATGTCTCCCACCAAGCTGTTCAGTCTCTCTGTCTCCCACCAAGCTGGTCAGTGTCTCCCTATCTCCCACCAAGCTGGTCAGTGTCTCCCTGTCTCCCACTGAGCTGGTCAGTGTCTCCTCTCTCCCTGTCTTCCACCAAGCTGGTCAGTGTCTCCCCTCTCCCTGTCTTCCACCAAGCTGGTCAGTGTCTCCCTATCTCCCACCAAGCTGGTCAGTGTCTCCTCTCTCCCTGTCTCCCACCAAGCTGGTCAGTGTCTCCCCTCTCCCTGTCTCCCACCAAGCTGGTCAGTGTCTCCCTGTCTCCCACTAAGCTGGTCAGTGTCTCCCCTCTCCCTGTCTTCCACCAAGCTGGTCACTGTCTCCCTGTCTCCCACCAAGCTGGTCAGTGTCTCCCTGTCTCCCACCAAGCTGGTCACTGTCTCCCTGTCTCCCACCAAGCTGGTCAGTGTCTCCCCTCTCCCTTTCTTCCACCAAGCTGGTCAGTGTCTCCCTGTCTCCCACCAAGCTGGTCAGTGGCTCCCCTCTCCTTATCTCCCACCAAGCTGGTCATTGTCTCCCCTCTCTCTGTCTCCCACCAAGCTGGTCAGTGTCTACCCTCTCCCTGTCTTCCACCAAGCTGGTCAGTGTCTCCCTGTCTCCCACCAAGATGGTCAGTGTCTCTCTGTCTCCCACCAAGCTGGTCAGTGTCTCCCACCAAGTTGGTCAGTGTCTCCCCTCTCCCTGTCTCCCACCAAGATGGTCAGTGTCTCTCTGTCTCCCACCAAGCTGGTCAGTGGCTCCCCTCTCCCTGTCTCCCACCAAGATGGTCAGTGTCTCTCTGTCTCCCACCAAGCTGGTCAGTGTCTCCCACCAAGTTGGTCAGTGTCTCCCCTCTCCCTATCTCCCACCAAGCAAGTCAGTGTCTCCCCTCTCCCTTTCTTCCACCAAGCTGGTCACTGTCTCCCTGTCTCCCACCAAGCTGGTCAGTGTCTCCCCTCTCCTTGTCTCCCACCAAGCTGGTCATTGTCTCCCCTCACTCTGTCTCCCACCAAGCTGGTCAGTGTCTCCCCTCTCCCTGTCTTCCACCAAGCTGGTCAGTGTCTCCCTGTCTCCCACCAAGATGGTCAGTGTCTCTCTGTCTCCCACCAAACTGGTCAGTGTCTCCCTCTCCCTGTCTCCCACCAAGCTGGTCAGTGTCTCCCCTCTCCCTGTCTCCCACCAAGCTGGTCAGTGTCTTCCCTCTCACTGTCTCCAACCAAGCTGGTCAGTGTCTTCCTTCTCACTGTCTCCCACTAAGCTGGTCAGTGTCTCCCCTCTCCCTGTCTCCCACCAAGCTGGTCAGTGTCTCCCCTCTCCCTGTCTCCCACCAAGCTGGTCAGTGTCTTCCCTCTCACTGTCTCCAACCAAGCTGGTCAGTGTCTTCCTTCTCACTGTCTCCCACTAAGCTGGTCAGTGTCTCCCCTCTCCCTGTCTCCCACCAAGCTGGTCAGTGTCTTCCCTCTCACTGTTTCCAACCAAGCTGGTCAGTGTCTTCCCTCTCACTGTCTCCCACCAAGCTGGTCAGTGTCTTCCCTCTCCGTGTCTCCAACCAAGCTGGTCAGTGTCTTCCCTCTCACTGTCTCCCACCAAGCTGGTCAGTGTCTTCACCTCTCCCTGTCTCCAACCGAGCTGGTCAGTGTCTTCCCTCTCCCTGTCTCCCACCAAGCTGGTCAGTGTCTTCCCTCTCACTGTCTCCCACCAAGCTGGTCAGTGTCTTCCCTCTCCCTGTCTCCAACCGAGCTGGTCAGTGTCTTCCCTCTCACTGTCTCCCACCAAGCTGGTCAGTGTCTTCCCTCTCCCTGTCTCCAACCAAGCTGGTCAGTGTCTCCCCTCTCCCTGTCTTCCACCAAGCTGGTCAGTGTCTCCCCTCTCCCTGTCTTCCACCAAGCTGGTCAGTGTCTTCCCTCTCACTGTCTCCAACCAAGCTTGTCAGTGTCTTCCCTCTCCGTGTCTCCAACCAAGCTGGTCAGTGTCTCCCCTCTCCCTGTCTTCCACCAAGCTGGTCAGTGTCTCCCTGTCTCCAACCAAGCTGGTCAGTGGCTCCCTATCTCCCACCAAGTTGGTCAGTGCCTCTTTTGTACTTGTCTTTCCAAGTTTATAAGTGCCTGATCCATTAACTGACTGCTTCTTACAACCAACCACATGAACATTATGTCAAGCAACACAACAACATGTATACACTGGCACTTCAACCGTTGTCTTATTTTTTGTTGGGGAAGAATGGGGTTCATAAGTGGCCAGCAGCTGCTAGTCAGGGTTTGAACCCTTGATTCACACAGATCCTTGATCTGTCAGCACCAAATCCATGCTCTAGCATTTCATCCCATCGAAGCTGACAAACAGACATCACTGAAATACTGTCCACACTAGACACTGCTATGCTACAGAACAGAGCTCCAGATAAGCTGCGTATCTGCGTAAAATATGCATCAGAAATGCAGAAATATGCAGTAAAATATAATCCAAGCATATCAAATTCGCAACGAACATTACAGATACGCTACAAAAATATAAGTTGTGCATATCATCAAAATATTGTGAAGTAACCCTGCATATTTGATTAGCAAATCAGCAACTTATTTTGAAATTATAAACGGGCATTCCGTCAACCTTGCCAAACTCCACGATGACAGTTACATCCTGATCATTTGCCATCACACTTTCTTGTGGAAGTATCGTGGTATTTTTTAGTCCTATAAAGCTCTCGAACCCACACGAAACCAGTTTGCAGGGCCTAGATGAATAGAGTTTTTAAATATTTAACTTAAATACCCACATGTGTAAAAACTAGTGGGAAACAGAAATTTGAATACCCAGATAGAATTACTGATACCCAATGATTTTTAAATGCATGGATAAAATACCCACAACACCAAAAGCTTATCTGGAGCTCTGCAGAAGCAAGGATGTTGTCATCCACAACAGAGGTAGTCAGCCTCACAGCCCACAGATACATTGATATCAATGAAATACTCACACACTCCAGGGACAGTAATGTATTTGTTTTCAAGTGTGCAGAGAACTCGTAAGCATGTTAATATGTACCCAGAAGAATTTAGTGTGAATCTCATTTCACCATGAGCTAGATCATAAGCAGTTGTGATTTCGATTAAGTTTGGTTAAATGAAGGAATGGATTGTAAGGTATGCATTCTGTCGGGCTGCAGGAAAATCTTACCTGATTGGCTGATAATTTTGAGCCTTCTTACATATTCAGTTTTATTTTAACTCCTTGTAGATTCGACCGCCTCCGTGGTCTAATGGTAGAGCGTCCGCCCGGAGAGCGGAAGGTCCGGGATCCGATCCCCAGCCGCGTCATACCAAAAGACGTTAAAAGATGGTACTTGTTGTTACCCTGTCTGGCGCTCGGCATTAAGGGGCTAAAACAAGGACTGGTCTGCTCGTAGTCAGTATACTGTGTCTCCCTAGTACAAGCAGCCACACACACATGCACGTCGCTATATAAGTGCAATAATCTTGGACGCATTGTTAAACCTCATTTCACCTCACCTCACCTTGTAGATTCTCAAGTAATTGTTTGCATTATCTCAACTGAATCAAGACACGTTTTATCTCTTATTTTTCATGATTTTTCAATATTTATAATTTCTGAATGTGGACAGGTAACTTTGAAGATGGGTCCCCTGCCCGACTGTCTTGTTGAGTTTTTAAATTATTTCAAACACTGCTTTTGGTTGTATATTAGTTATGGTGACCCAGTCATCTTAGATGCCACAATTTTATGTGCAGAGTTGGCTCCAGCAACCTATGCTTGTTGTAAGAGACGACATAATGGATCAGGTGGTCAGGCTCTGTGACTTGGTTGATTGCGTGTCATTGTACCCTGGTGGCATGAATTGTTGTTCATAATATCAATCATAGGATTGGTTGGTCCAGACTCGATTATTTACATTTTATTTCCATGTGTGTCATTAAACAACAGACTTGTGAAGATCCAGGTTAGAATAGGCCCACAGCAACCCATGCTTGCCATAAAAGGCGACTATGCTTGTCGTAAGAGGCGACTAACGGGTTCGGGTGGTCAGGCTCGCTGACTTGGTTGATGAATGTCATTGTATCCCAATTGCATGGATTGATGCTTATGATGTCAATCACTGGATTGTCTAGTCCAGACTCGATTATTTACAGACCACTGGCATATAGCTGAGATATTGCTGAGTGCGGCTTTAAACAACAAACAAACAAACTAAACAGTAAACAAAAAACAAACAGTCACATGAAGATGTAGATGTTGGAAGTATATTTGCGCCATGTTTTTCACATGTTCCACCTTGCTGCTGATACAAGAATACAAGGGGGTGTACATTCAGAAAAAGATGACAAAGAAATGATGTCGAAAGAGTTTAAAAAATCAGTTTCCTAATTTTAAATCATTACTGTTTATTTGAGAAAGTTCATGAACATATTATATTATCACATGGGCCTACATGGACTACTAGTATGTCATAGTGGAGTCATTCAGACGTAGTCAGTAGTACCACCTAACTCTCCTCTTTTCATAGGACGATTTATTCTACCTATTGCGACTAAAAACATTATTCTTAAGGATGTCTGCTGGTAAGATTTGGTAATTAATTCTCACATTTCAACATGTGTCACATTGCTTTGTAATGACAAAGCCTGATAGTAGTGCTGCAGCGTTCTTTAAGCTATGAGGGGCAGTCGGGTAGCCTAGTGGTTAAAGCGTTCACCCATCATGCCGAAGACCCGGGTTCGATTCCTGACATGGGTACAATGTGTGAAGCCCATTTCTGGTGTCCCCCGCCGTGATATTGCTGGAATATTGCTAAAAGCGGCGTAAACCCATACTCACTCACTCACTTTAAACAATGACAGCACTGCATTGTAACGTTGTTGCATGATGTCATGGCACCTAAAGACGCTACCAGTGGAATGTTGCAATCTTCCCAAGAAAATGAAGGAAAGTAAACAATTGTGCACATTTCCAAAACTTTTGAAAGAAATAGTTCACAACGTACAGATAGTTATCTTTCCCGAGGCAAGGAGGTTGAATGACTTTTAAGTCCGGTTTCCACCCAAGCAGAACTAGGCTGGAATTTTACTGGGATAGATCGTAGCACCACTAGCTGTCCCTTCTATGCCCATCCTATTGACCAATCAGATTCCACCTCTCATATCAATTTTATTTCCTTCAAACAAAATTGCACCGCCCAGTCAAGACAATCTGCTCGATATCAAAATCTATATAGAAATAAAACGGATCTTACTTCGTGAAGTGCTCAAGTGCACCTTGATTAAAAACATGAAAAGATTTGGAAAAATCTCTCTTAACGCCAAGTTGGCGGTACACAAGCTTTTCAAATCCTACAATCAAATTAAATCAGCACTGTGGTTTAGTAACCTGTTGTCGATTTTATTAGCCGACTATGCATAAACTCGCTAGTCCATAATTGCAGCCAAGTTCGGCAAGGGTGGAAACTGGACTTTTCTAGTCAGTTATCTCCCTTGCCTTGGGAAGATCATGTATATCATAATTTTTGTAATAGACAAAAGTTTTATCCGTGTCACTGTGTTGTTGAAATACTTTTAAAAAGTTAATACTAGCATGTATACATGTCATACAAAACTGTGAAATTGGCACAATAGTGAGTAAGTATGCCTTTCGCAATATCCTTTCTTCATTTGGACAGTAGTTTTTTTAAATATATGAACTGTTTCCTTTTCTTAAAAATTTAATACTCGACTAGCAGACATCTTTAACATGGGCAAATTCTAATTTCTGAGGTGTTTCTCCCACCCCAATTACTCCTGTTGTAGAGGGGGTAGACTTTAACTCTGTGATATTATTTCTAACTTCAGAACATTGACAGTGCTAGTCATGCAGGCCCACATGCAGAAATGTTATCAGAGGTAGGACCATGTTTTGTTGCAGTATCTGTATTATCATCAAACTAAATTTAGTTACACACACTTCACTGTATTAGAACTGTGCAAATATGCTTCCAACACAACCTAAACCATGTCCACCAACCTCCCTGAAGCATGTTTAGAAATTGATATAGAGTAAACTAACTTTATAACATGGTTATAACAAACTGACCGATATAAGAAACATATTTTTTAATCCCGCCGATTTGTTGTATATATGCGGTATACTGTAAATCATGAAATTAATGCGTTTCCAAAAGAATGCGACCACTGGACCCTAGCCAAAAATGTGACTCAATATGAATGCAACACCCCCTCCTCTCAAGCATCAGTGGATTTCTATCTAAAGATTTCCTCAGTCAGGTTTAGAATCCTCACCTTATCCAACCTTACATTAATCCAATCACACACCAAATAGCACCGCTTATTAGCGCTCAGTAATGTACTTGCGCAAAAACAATACATGCACGCTGGCTCGTGTCGGCCTTTGGCGCAGTCGCTAAGAACAAAGGGTGGCGTCTGTCTGGACTTGCAGGTGTGATCAGTGATGACATAAGTGAGTACAACTCTTGTCCTGACCCCAGCAGTGACAATTCACAGGATGTAATTTGTGTTTGAATGACATTGTTTATATACTTTATATACAAGTGCTGCTCAATAAACAGTGGTGTGGAATACATCAGCGTATGTCTAAGTTGGTATTTTTGCTATCCAAAATGTCTTATTGTTGATATAAATGCGATGTTTAAAAATGCGAGCAAAGACCACTTGCATTTTTCACATTTAATTCATGCTCGTGTTAATTTCAAGATTTACAGTATATGCTTATAACGAACTACGGTTATTACAAACTAAAATTAGGTGTCCCTTTGAGTTTGTTATAACGGACGTTTACTCTGTGTCCGTGTGTGCGTGCGTGCGTGCATGGTTTTGAACACTGAGAGTGAGTGTGTCTCAGTAACCGGCAGATCGCGGGATCTGTGACAAATCGTACCACCAAGCCTGAGATCAATGTTCCAGCATATTATATCTCCATTCTGTCCTGATATACTCTGAACTCTGAACTCAATCACTACCAGGGCATCATTCTGGTCTAGCAAGAATTGCTTTTGGAATTCCCTCCTGTCATATCAGTCATAAAAACAACTTTCTAACAAACAATTCCTATTAGCAGTCTCCTCATTGGATTATATATATCGCCCTGTTCGTAGCTGTGGTAACGTGTCTCTTTGCTTCTCCCTATAAACAATTTTGGTATTGACTTGTTGCTACACAGAGCTGCAGGCTGTCTCATAGTGTTTTCCTTATATGGATCCCAGATACAAATCTGCATCCCACTTTATAATATTCTACAAGAAAGTGATGCAACAGGATCCCCTACCTAAGACGCTTACCTTCAAGTACAAGTACTTATATTTAAAGTCGTGACACAATATATTTATCCGCTTATGCACTGAGCAAAGCAGTTATTAGAAACTAACAGTTTTAGTCCACTAGTCCTTATGATACCTTAACCATTGGGCAGTTTGGCAAGGACTATAGGACTAGTGCCAATTTCTAACACTGCAGAGGCAACCCAAATCCTACCTTCTCTATGATTTCAACCATATAGAAATTGATCAAAATATAAGTACAAATCTTTGAAGTCAGATGTTTTAGGTTGTGAATCGTGTTGCAGTTTTCGTGGGACTCCGATTCATGTACATTATGGCGGGGTTGTTAGTATGTTCCGAATCGGACATCTATTACAAAAACACAATGTAACAGCCTCTACCTCTCTGTAGCAGCAAGTAAAAAAAATAAGCTAACTCATTCTAATGTCCATTCTGAAGAGGCATGTTGATTGGTTGTTGATTTCAAGCGATATTCTGTACGCAGAGAAGGAATCTGTCAGTTCCACCTGATGGCATTGTTATTGTTATCTGCTTTGTAGTTTCTGGAAACTTGAAGCCAGTATTTCTGACATTTTGTTCACATGTCTTTTTCAGACTCACAGCCTTTTACTCACAGAGATTTTCATTTTGACATTGATGAATCAGTTTTGTATTTCCAGGGTCTTTTCCTCACCACAAATAATGTATTTGTTCATGGCCATAATCAAACTTAGCAGCCAGTGCAACCTGCCATGGCAGCTTACAATCAGTTGCTCAATTGGCTACATGGTACTCTGAGCCAATCAGAGAGCGTGTCTAGAAACATGATCGAAATACACTGCCGGCGCCACACTGCCGTCAGTTGGATTTGTCATACCCATTATGGTCCTTAGTTTGTCAGCACCATACCTGTGCTTGAAGTATCCACCAAATAGTAAACCTCAGGTGGTCATAGGGAAATAGGGTCAACGTTGCGTCCAAGATTATTGCACTTATATAGGGATGTATGTGTGTGTGTCTCTGTCTGTCTGTCTGTCTGTCTGTCTGTGCCTGCGTGCCTGCTGCCTGCCTGCTTGTACTAGTCCGGACTATTGTCAATTTTATAGTGCTAGCCCACTGAGATACCATGCCGCAGTATAGCATGAAGACCCCACTGACTCGGACCCGACCAGTCCTTGTTTTAGTCCCTTAATGCCGAGTGCCAGGCAGGGTAACAAATAGTACCATCTTTTAACATATTTTGGAATGACACGGCCAGGGATCGAACCTCCAACCTTCCGCTCTCCCACTAAACCAAGGAGGCCATCTTAGGTCGTTGAGAAGTGCCAGGTAACGAAGATGTTTAAAACTACCGCAGCGAACACAAACAACAATGATACCTCAGTTACCTGTTACTGATGTTTATTTTGGGAAAGGAAATCACGGTGCATGGTCAAAGCGATAACATTATTACGCAGGTCAATGGGTCAGTATTGGTCATTCTCAGCTCCCTGGGGGTTTATGAAACCCAAGTTGTTTTGTGACCCACTGCCACCATAGTATGAATACAGTGTTCGAAATTAAGGGGGATCCTAGTGCCTATGGTGTTTAGATATATTCCAGCACCATACGCATGCTCGTGGGTTTCACCGAAGTGGTAAACGTCTTAGACCTGCATCACTTCGGGCTTTCCTCCCACATTAAGCTGACACGCCGTGATATGACTGGAATACTGTTAAAAGTGGCGTTAAACTCACTCACTAACTAGATATATTCTTGTGAGCTACAGACATGACAAAGTCTGGATTATTATTATGCATTATGCATTTTGGTTTATTCAGCCAACTTACCTATAAAACACAAACGCAAAATAACCTGACCTGTTAATACAATTTTTTCTCACCATAACCTATTCAACTGCCTGTTTTAGTGAGATTATGACTAGTGATTGTCAAGTTGAGGTGGCAATCTCCACCGAATCTATTGAACTACATCCATTATGTATATCCCTATCGCTCTGATCAGGGCAAGGGATTAGATGTATTGTCACAGAGAGAGTGTCACAGGTTAAAGTAAATCTGTGGTAGACCTCAAGAAAGAATAGTATTGAGCTGCCAACCCTAGAGGTTGAGTGAGATGTATATTAGCCAGGGTTCAGTGATTCCAGGCCCCGCTGAGGTACAGATGGAGGGTCGCGGGCTGTCAAAGCTGCCCCCTCCCAGACAAAAAAGATCAAAACCATTTTATAGAAATGTAGTTATAGAAATAAAGACAAAAGCACTATGCCAGTTGTGGTGAGAAACAAGGCAATCAGCACAAAATTAAAGCACAATGTTTTAAGAAGTCATTTTGAGATTTTAGGTGAGAGGTGACAGTGGCATTGCTTGAGAGAGTGAGTTTTGTGAGTTGAAAAAACGACCAACTCTTTTGCCTAGACTGACAGTCGACAGCAGTCTGCAGCAATCTATCAATTTGCTTCAGCATATCTTGATAATCACCTTCATATGATTGGCAAATTCAGCAATGATGAATCTAAATATGTTGAGGGTTAAGGTGTGATCCCAGGGCATTTTGAGCACATTACATATACTCATCACATATAATCTTTTCTCTCTTTTTTTATCCCCCCGGCATATAATGCAGGGGGATATAACAATTAGCCAGTCTGTCTGTCCGTCTGTCCGTCTGTCCCTCCGTCTGTAATCATTTCCTATTCCGGGGCAGAACTTGAAAACAATTCAGTGTATTTGATCGAAACTTGGCAAATCTATCAGTCACATACTGAAGTTGTGCCTTTTGCTATTTAGGAATTTTAGAAGTTTTTATTTTTTACGTTTCCATGGTAACTAGTTGGACTTAGGTTCTATAGGGTAGAGTTCATTTCCGGAGCATAACTCAAAAACTGTTAAATATTTTCTTACAAAACTTTGCATGTCTACCAGGCACATACTGAACTGGTGCCTTTTGCTATTTAGGAATTTTATAAATTTTTATTTTTACGTTTCCATGGCAACAATTTTGATTTAAGTTTTAATATAGGGTGGGTTCACTTATGGAGTATAACAAATAAACTGTTAATATTTCCTTGCCAAACATTGCATGTCTATATATAAAGTGCATACTGAACTGGTGCCATTTGATATTAAGGAGTTTTAGAAATGTTTATTTTAGAATTTCTATTGCAGCTATTTTGACATGGGCTGAGAGAATGTTGGGTCAGTTACCTGGTTTGGGACCATAACGTGTTAAAATGGGCGGAGGATATAGATGACTTTGTTGACTATATGCTTGACTAAAAACCCACAGAAACACACTTGTTTTACTTCATTTTATTTCATATGGATGCGACCATGGTGGATCTTTTGTGGGTAAACAATGTATGCTTCTTCAAGAACATTCAACTCTTGACCCATTACATACAGAATTGCACATTTACTTGTGGTTACTTTACAGACAGCTGCCGGGGGGATATGTCATCTTTGTGATGACTCTTGTCTTTTTGAGGAAATGTATTAATCCATGATACAGCTGGTTGCTTTATGGCTTTTAGTGTAAAGGTACTAAATAATGTACATGCACACTCCCACATTACTACAGTTTGGTCCCCGCTCTATGAACTCACAGGAAGTCAATTCTTAGAGATCTGAAATGCTGTTCTAAACCCAACCACTATTTGTGGTGTTCCCCGCCATGATGTTACTGGAATATTGCTAAAAGCAGCATAAAACCATACACACTCTCTCCTTCACTCTCACTCACTCACTTATTCACTGTCTTAACCCAGCCAAACCCAACCCAACCCATCTCACTCACTCCATATCAATTCCAGGCCATGTCAAACCACACGGGTCCAGCAGACATTACTTGAAAAAACATCACTAAACCAAAAATATAGGCACCTGTCTGTGTGATGTGTGATAATGTTTTGGTTGCAGCGGCTACTGACAATTGTGTAGAACCTGGACGAGGTGCATTGTGTGTGATGTGTGATAATGTTTTGGTTGCAGCGGCTCCTGACAATTGTGTAGAACCTGGACGAGGTGCATTGTGTGTGATGTGTGATATTGTTTCTGTTGCAGCGGCTCCTGACGGGCGTGGAGAACCTGGACGAGGTGCACTCTCTGGAGATGAAGGTGGACACCACTGAGACCAGCCTGGGCAACTTTGGGGGACTGCTGCCCAACCTCCGCCAACTCAAGCTGTCTGACAGTGTCATCTCAGGAATCAGGTACACGGGACGAATTTGACTTGCCTGATGACGCCTACCATAGAATATTAATTTGCACCCGTTAGAGACCTGTCATTAACCATAGAGGTGGTAGGAAACACTTCGTGACCAGGGGATTCTCAATCATTTTTAGTGTTTCACTTTTTTCCTCCCGGCATATAATGTGGATGGATATATTCACCATTTGGTTTTCATCCAAACTTGGTGCATCTATTTACCTAGGGGCTGAAGTTGGGCCTTTTGCTATCGTGGCTGCCGGGGGGATTTGTCATCTTCTGATAACTCTTGTTTTTCCTTGTATTGGGTAAGATAAATTTTTCTTGTATTTGGAAAGCATGAGGGGGCCCAGTGGCAGTTCACTCTGCAGAGTTATGCCCCTTACCAGTATCAGGATCAAGTTGTTGGTGTGGATTGAAATCTGATTGTGAAAGGATGGGATATTACTGAATTACTGTTAAAAGCAACTTTAGTCCCAACTCACCTATTTAGTATTTTTGTATTGAATTGACAGCCATAGCGAAGATCAGTCCTTATTGAAATGATGACATATGGGAGTCGAACTGTTCAATGATGTTTCATGGTTTGCAGAGACATTGGGTCATCCCTACGAGGTCTGCGGGTCTTGTGGATGTGTCGGTGTGGGTTGAGTGAGCTGGATGGAGTAGCCTCTTTGACCAGTCTCAAGGAACTCTACCTCTCGTACAATGAAATATCTGACATCAGCCCCATCAGCATGATCGACACGTTAGAGATCCTGGACCTGGAAGGGTAGGTGCAGTGTGGTCATGGATTGTCCGGGCAGTGTCCAGTTCAGTTATAGTTCAGACATGCTCCAGGCATGCTCCAGACATAGTGCAGTCTCTATGATGACACGATTGATTAAATAAAACGATTGTGTCAACTATTATAATTCAAGAAGCTTTTCAAAAAGCACCTGTTTACATTCTAGTATCAAATACGACCCCAGTACCTTGTAAGTGCTGACAAGAATCAGGATAACGTAGTCAGAGTGATTGTGTGTCATGTAACCTGTGTAATCATCCAAAGGCCAAGAATTGATTATTTTCCAACTGTCACAATACAGCTAGAATGCTTCTGACTTTCTTGTAACCCAACACTCCCTCTCTTCTTATTCCTTCTCAAGAAGCATTGCACATCACATCACATCACATCACACTCTTGAAATTAAATCTTTGAATTATGAAATGAGCACCTTTATTATAAAGGTTTGGTTTAATGTGGGAGTCGTTGACCTGGCAATCAGAATTTGGTCCAATCTGACATGTTGCTGAATCCTTTTGGTATGTTTGTTCTTCAGAAACTACATTGATGATGTCAGTCAGATCCAGTACCTAGCCATGTGTCAGAGTCTGAAGAGTCTGTCCCTGGAGGGCAACCCTGTCTGTCTCATGCCCCACCCAGAATCACAGCAGGTGGGGTGTCTCTTGTTAAATTACTGCACTTCTGGTAATAAGACTTATCTCCCCTTGACCATACACCATTATCCATCACTACACACTATTTCAGGTAAAACGGAAGAAAGTTTCCTATGTTTGAGAATATTGATATGTTAGTAGACTAAGGGTGTGTGGTATTACCAGTATATCGGTAAATTGAGGTTAATTCTTTCCTTGATACGTATCACAATATCATTTTTTCATGCTCAGTATATCGGGGGATTTGAAATAGCGACTTTTATCATGTGTTTTATGTTATACACTTGCCAAATACCTTCACTGCCCCGGAGGGTGCATCCAAGGCCCCAAGATGGCTGCTTATTTATCAAATGAGTAAACATTTTCTTGTACCAGCATCCTTTTTTGTTCTATTTGTGAACTTCCAACCATACATTGATGTTTCAGATTTTTCTGAATTCAAAATTTAGAATTATACAATATATCATGATACGTATCGCAATCAGCCTTGTGCATCACAATATATTGCGATACACTTTAAACCTCCAATACCCATCTCTTTACAGACTGACTATAACTACAGGGAGTATGTGAAGAAAGTCTTGCCCAACCTACAAGTTCTGGACGAGGAGCCACTACTGGACGGGTCAGCCACAGATCGTAAGCCCAACGCTTTTGAGGATGACTGGGCATACCTGGAGGAGTTGCAGAAAGATGCCTTGTTGATGGAGTCCCTGGTTGATACAGTCAACATCGGCACAGAGGCAGGTGAGCACCATCAGACAGGGTGATAGGTGCTATTTGAATCTGAACAATTTCCACGATATTGGCCACGATAATACACCGTACTCAAGCATTGGTCTAATGTTAATCATCCTTCAATCTCATTAAAATCAGATCTTACTTCTCGCTATCGCTATAAGCAAAGATCTGAGGACATCCCATTATGGGTCACGTCAGAAAGACCTTTCATCCAACCAATCAAAGCGTTGCTTACCAGATCATGAAAGGGATAGTCGGAATGTGTTTTCTGATTCTGCAACCTCAAAAACATTAACACGGGGTATTCCATACGACAGTTATAACCCGTATGACTGATTCCGTCTAAATTATCGTCTATCTCTCGCTTCAGTTGGATAGACATTTGAACGGAAGAGGCATTGCACATTTTGAGCAAAGATGTCTCAAAAGCTTGCTCACAGAATTCAAATCCAATTCAAACCATCGATATTGAAACCAGCTGTATTGATGTCATTTTTTCCTATCACTCACTGTCATCTTATATCATTATCATTTCGATCAAGTATGTGAGTTCGATTTTATTTTTTTACTCTGTTTTACATGTGACCTTCCTTTGAACTTCGACCAGTGCTGAAATAGTGTGAACTGATGCTGAAACGTTAACTGTTGTGTCAAGGTTCCCGTCCCGGTACAGCAGCACTACGCCCAGCTACAGCCTACCGGCCTGGCACAGCCCTCAGGAGACCGACCACAGCCTTCCGTCCAACAAGTGGTCACTCCCCATCAGTTGCCAGCCGAACAGTGTCCTCAGCCCGTCCAGCGACCTCAGCCCGTCCAGCAACCTCAGCCCGTCCAGCCACCAGTGCAAGGCCAACGACCGCCAGACCAAGTTCTAGTGGTGAGAATATGTCAGTATGTCAGGCATTGTACAGGTGCTGTGTTTGATGTTTAACTCTGTACCCTGCAATGACATGTCATTATTATTATTATTATCATCATCAACATTATTATTATTATTTGCTAGGGATTGCTATTCTAACCCAGAATGCCTATATGGTACAGGTACTATGACCAGTATGAAAGGATTGACAGCCCACACGTATGAGTCTGAGATACTGGCATGTACAATAGTGTTGCTGCTGGTGGATACAGATGTAAAACATGTAGATTACCTCTGTATGCAGGGCACATGTGCAATATGCACACCTGCTATGTGCACAATACTGTTACAGGAGACCACACAACTGTCATGCTGCAACTGCACATTGCCTAAGGCTACTCTCACTGTGCACATAATTCTACCCTAGAATTCCAGGATTCTCACTGGCTTGAGAAAGCCTTTGATTTTAGATTGGTCTAAAAAAATCTTTGAAGTTACCATCGGTTTTCGGACATCATACATTCTCGGACATACATGTTTTTCACGATTACTCACGCTATAACAAGGGGTGTGGCGTCACACAGACATTGTAAATATGGGCTGTTTTTTAGATAAAGTCATCTTTTATAAGTGATGTTGTTCAGTTGTTCTTGACCTTAGCAGGAAGACTATGAATGTTTCTTAAGCCCTCCGAAAACCCATAACACTGAGATATATTCTGCAATATTCAAGGCCTTGAAAATGTATAATATGCCTTTAGTAGATCTTGAATTTTCGTATTCAGTCTCCATCTCAACTAAACTACCTCGTATCTTAATATATCTTTATATTGTTTGATATCAAAAACTGTTTAAAAATTCCAAGAAAACAATACGTACACATTGGTGTAAATTTACGTGGCCTTGATTTTTGGGATTGAGCCTTGAAAGTCTTGATGTTTGAGACTATCTCTGTGCAAACCCTGAACCCTGAGTTCCAACTGGGTAGTAGGTATGCTCATAGAATACAGAATCAGACAACTTGTTCATCAAACCCACCATATTAAAATAGTTTCTAATTGATGATTTGAATCAGATTCAGTGGAAGTGGATGCAACAAGTGATCTAACTCTGGGGAACGTCATATGTGGGAACCCTTCTCGAGCCCTTAAAAACAGGAGGAAAGTTCGGAGGTCATCTGAGGAGGAGCTGGAGAAGGACAAGCAGAGGCTGATAGCGGAGGTGAGGAGATGCTCCATACTCAGTCCACATCATGGTCTTTAAACTGTTCATCACAGGAGAATGTTTTAGCTCTGTTTACTGTTGAACATGCGTTTCTGGGCCTCTAGATATATACAGTCAAGTCTTGTTAATCCGACATGGTTAGTTGCATATGATTATGTCGGATTAACGAGGATGTTGGATAAACGAAATAAAGTTGTATCAGCTTTCGTGATCGAAAATGTGACAACTTCAAGATAGATAACGATACAAAGACGTAATAAAAATGAAAAATGAAATATTCATATAGTTAGGTTACATTGTTTGCAGCATATGTTTTATGATCGTGCAACCTCTAAAGCTTAAGACAATACTATGGTTAGGGCTGTATGACTGATTCAAAATACTTTAAAAAGCATAGTCTGGAATGGAAGTCACCAGTTCACGAAAATTCTCGATCATACATTTAGATATGATTATATACAAAATCAACTTTAGCAAAAAATATTCTTTAAAACTACGAGAAGCTGTTAGAAGCGAAAGAGTACATGCTGGTCAAGTAACAAAAATGGCGCTTTGCAAAATGAACAGTCTCCATTGACAATTTGAATGAGAAATTTAAAACGAAACATTTTCAAGAGAATAACAAACAGCAAGAAGCGATATTAACTTCATGACTGACCATCTGTCATAATTTTGCCTTGTCGATGTAGAACTTACGTAAAAAGGACGTCAACAGTTTGTGTACGGGCTTGACACTTCACGGCAGTGAGATGTGAAGTGTTATGTTTACTGCAGTGAAATATCAAAGTCTATTATATTCACTGCAATGAAAATGTCACTTTTCTCAACTTCAGAAAACTCAGTCTTTCACACTGAAGTATATAATAAAGCCTGTTACGCATCAATCAGTCTCATTAAGTTCAGACCTTATACACTGATATGATACCTGATAGTTACTTTATTCTATGTTTTATTTTTGTGAAAAACAAATTGTTCCATGAAAGATGAAACAGTCAGGCAAGTGTTGCAGTAGTGTACTATATGTGCATGAACAAAATGTTGGCCGTGATCGTCATATCCCTGTAGCTGTACTGTACTACTGTCAATGTTTCCACAGTCTGGTCACCACATAGCGCTAGCGGAGTCTCGGACTACCTCCATCTCTACAGGGGACAGTGAGCTGGATCCAGAAGTTCGACAGGAGATCTCAGAGTGGCGCAGTCACCACGATAGGTATGTAATCTTACCCATAGGGGCAACAATATCTGTTGTTTATTTTCAGTAACTCTCACCAAGCATTATCATTTTTATTTCATACTGTGGTACACTTGACACTAGACAGCATCATGTTCACCAGTGTTTCAATAATGGGAGGTATGTAAGGGGATTTGAGGAACTGGAGTCCACATGTTCATTTCAAGAGGGGGATGAACCTATCCCACTGTGTGGCATACAATGTTTGATAAACTTTCTGAACCCATTCGCCACCATTAGTTCATCTTGGAAGCAACGTCGCCAGCTCCATCTCTCTTATCACTGACCACATTCCCGAGGCTAGAGAGTTAACTGACTATAAAAGTCCAGTTTCCACCCTTGCCAAACTTGGCTGGAATCCCTGGGCTCGATCGTAGCGCCACCAGTGGCTATTACGAGTTATGTCCTTTCTATGCCTCTCCCATATGGACCAATCAGATTCCACCTGTCATATCACATGCATTTACTTCAAACAAAATGGTGGCGCCCAGTCAAGACGATCTGATCGACCATCAAGATCTTTTTTGTGATAAAACGGTTCTTACTTCGCAAAGTACATCACAAATCACGTGAGCACCTTGATTAAAAACATGAAAAGATTTGGAAAATATCTGTTGACAACAAGTTGGCGATGCACATGCTTTGCAAATCCTGCAATCGACTGAACTCTGCATGACAGTTTACGAACCAGATTTCGATTTCGGTGCACGATTTTGATTGGACTATGCATAGACTCGTTAGCCCAGCCAAAATGTAACTCCATAATCCTAGCCTAGTTCGGCAAGGGTGGAAACTAGACTTGTAAAGTCAGTTAACGCTCTTGCCTCGGGATGATGATCACTGACTTAACACAGAATTTGTCACCCCCATGAACCTGAAATCAATACCCAATCACAGTGCTTCTTCTGAAGACGAGTTTGGTATAGAAACTGCATTCAAATGGCTGCCTCATCCAGACGAGCCCTCAGTGTATTAAACGAATCATAGACTGTAATAAATTCATGTAAGTGTTCAGCTGGAACAGATGTCTTCCTGAGTACTAACATGAGGCAGGGAAGCCCTTATCCTACAGAACGTTCTATTTGCAAGCAAAACTCGAAGTAGAGTACTGGTGTTGTATTTATATCACAAAAGAGCAGTGTAATATGATTACTCTTAGTGCCATATCATTCAAGCTGGCCACAAAATGAGGCTTATGTGGCAGATGAGTCCAGTGTGTACTGTTAACCAGACCGCCTCCGTGTTCTTGTGGTAGAGCGTCCGCCCGAAGAGCGGAAGGTCCAGAGTTCGATCCCCAGCCGCGTCATACCAAAAGACGTTAAAAGATGGTACTTGTTGTTACCCTGTCTGGCGCTCAGCATTAAGGGGCTAAAGCAAGGACTGGTCGGCTCGGGGTCAGTATACTGTGTCTGAGTGGGGTATTCATGTTAAACTGCGGCATGGTATCTCAGTGAGCTAGCACTATAAATTGGCATCAGTCCAGACAAGTACAAGCAGCCACACACACACGTGCATGCACGTCGCTATATAAGTGCAATAATCTTGGACGCGACGTTAAACCCAATTTCACCTCACCACCCGTACTGTAAACCAGGAAAGTTTTGCGAGCAGGAAAGTACTGCGAAAACTGCAAGTGACATACTCACAATAATCTTATGACACAGTTAATTTTGCAGACCAACAACAAACAAAAGAAGTAAGGAGTCCTATTTCTATCACTCACGCCCACACATTGTCAAACCAGCCAGTACATGATTCAACAAATAAACCCTCATATCCTGTTTCCCTAATTACACATGCTCACTCAGTGTCCATACTCTAATTAGTCACTAATCACTAATCTGTTCACAGTGAATCACCGGTTATTGATGAAATGACTTTGTTCCAAATAAACCTCTGTTCTTGCAGCAGTGACTGGGGACCTGGTTTGATAGAGAGATATTCTTTATTTCCTCCAGATATTGAAGATACATATCATATATGATATTATGTATAATTACAGGCTGTACAGTAGTACAATTTAACAATATTATGAGAAATGATAACTACAAAATGCATGACAATCAAGCATTCTCATAACTGTTTTGTAACAGATACAGCCATTTCCTACAGTATCTTGACACAATAACCATAAGGTCACCCCATAGACTTTGAGATAAAGAGCTAACACACTCAGGCATACCGCCAAGTAGTACAGACAGGATTATATCATCGTCCTCACTACATAGTCTTGCAAATGTAGAGACATCTATCACATCACAAAGGATTTCAAATAGTTCATTTCTGTCATTCATATTCAATGCACAATACAGAAAGACATGCTTAATAATATCATGAGCTACAATTCTACATCAACATTCCCTAGATTCTATATTTAGGCATCCCAGCCGTACAAGATGAGACAGGTTTGGGAACTGTTCAGACGTGATGTGACACATCCAGTGTCTTAAAAGCAGCTTGGGTTGTATCCTCCCCAGGGAGCTGAGAATGCCTTTTGTGCACACTGATCCATCAGTAAGGGTTGTAACTTGTCACATCATGAGCATGCTTTAGAGAATTCATATGCTACGATATAAACATTCTATTATTATTATCATTATAATCATTGTTGTTGTTGTTGTTATTATTATCACAGGGGCGGTGGGGTAGCCTAGTAGTTAAAGTGTTTCCTCGTCACGCTGAAGGCCCGGGTTCGATTCCCCACATGGGTATAAGGTGTGAAGCCCATTTATGGTTCCCCATACTCTCCCTCACTCACTCACTCACTCACTAATATTAGCACAAATTGAGAATGTTTATTGTGTTGCAACAGACGTATGGCAGAGCTGGAAAAGGAGAGAGCTCCCCAGGTTCTCGTGGTGGACCACATGGAGCCAACAGATGGGCTCTCGGACAGCTCACTCGCTGACAGTGACGAAGATGACACTGCAGATGGAGATTTCGGGACACATATCGGAAGTGAGGACAGTGTAGTGTACTCACAACATAAGTTTCGAGCTCCTAATTTGGGGCTGAAGCATGATGAGTCATTTGAAGCGGAAGAAGAGGAGGAAGTTGTTATGAGGTCACATCGGAGGTCCCCCAGCCCTAGTCTCAGGTTAAAGTCACGACGAAGCCAAAGTCCAGTACCAGCTGCCCTTATGACAAACGGCAGACAACTGCCCACTCCACCCCTGTCAGGCAAGCTGGCAGCAAGGTTAGTTGCTTGAGATTTATCCACAGTATAAATTTTTCTGTGTGTAAAATATGCATTTGAATATAATATGCACCCTTCATGCTCGAGTACAGGTTTCGGTACAAGTGGTGTTGTTTTTCAAAAAGTATCGCCTTTGATATCTTCACAAGTTTTTGTCATTAAATGTCCTAAGGAAGAGAATTTATGGATGTCAACTTCTTTATTATGAGGAAAACAACGTTTCGGAGACTATGCTTACTCCTTCATGAAAAAGAAGCTGACATCCATAAATTCTATTCCTTTTGTGTATCACTTCTAAGTGCCTTTCAAAAACTTTATTAAATGTCCTGTGCTATTTGTTACAGGAAGAGTGAGATGAGTGTAGTGACGACGGCCACAGGGTTACCTCCCCCTGTCATACGAACACTATCCAACCCTGGTGGAAGTCCGTCACCCCCGACCTCGGGGGGTAGTGTAGCGCGGCCAGGAATCCCCCACCCCCGCATACGGCGCCAGCTCCCCGAGGTTCCCAGTCTACCCTCAAGGCCACCAGTACCAAAGTCCTAGCAGGAACTAAACTAACCCACAGACAGACAATCCCAGGAGGTGTGTGATCCTAGATAAAAGTGTGCAGTGATTCGAGGATTAGCACTTCATCAGGCGTTGCTGGTGTAATTGCCTCTGCCTCAGACCAGTGTTCAAAACTCAGGCAAAATATAAATAGTGGTGAGGCAAACTTCAAAGGCAAAGTGAGATGAAAAAGAGTGTCAGTACTGCTGAATGTTCTCAGTTCAACGTTGTAGTGGGTTGTCCTGTGAACACTGCTGAGATATATGTGCAGTGATGAGAGTGATGATGTGATGGGACATCTGTTGGGGGAGGGTGACCAGCTCCAATAATTACATCCTACTGTGATACTTACATACAGTGATGAACATGGGACTCGACCTGAATGTTCACACCCGTCCAGAGCATCATGTTTCTGATCTGCTGAACTTTTCAGAGTAATATGTCTACCTTATTTACAGGGGGCACGGGTGGCCCAGTCGCCTAAGGCGCCGCGATTCGCTGTGCAGAGTTGCATCCCTTGGGTACGCCAGAAACCTATGATTGTGGGTTCGAATCCCAGTTCACCCCAATTATGTTTCTAGGTTTGTCAGCACCATACCCGTGCTCGTGGGTTTCATCAAAGTGGTAAACGTCTGAGACCTGCATCACTTCGGGCTTTCCTCCCACATTAAGCTGACACGCCGCGATATGACTGGAATACTGTTAAAAGCGGTGTTAAACCCAACTCACACACACACCTTATTTACAGCCTGTGTTGTTATTGGAGTACTCCAGTACAGTGAAACCCTTTTAATCCAATCTGGACCAAATCTGATAAAAACATTGTGGGTATGGAGTGATGTCCCTTTGTATGTATCTTCCCAACAGTAGCTCTCCATAAGGCAGTGTCCAGATTAACAGGGTTTGTATTAACAGGGTTTCTCTGTACACATTATTGTGTATGGTACCCTCTGTGTTATAACCCTGACACCAGCAGCTGTGTGTTCAAGTGTCTCTCCAGACCAGTATGTTCGGAACCTTCCCATGTCATCCTTCTGTCCTCCCAGTATTCATCAATCAAGTCATCCGTGTCTGTCTACCAGCATTATGTTTGTCCTCTTGTCCCAGGCTCATTGTTTTGTTATGTGTCATGAACTAGATTTAACACAGAATATTACTGGCATTTAGAAGTGATTATGTTTGGCATTAAACAACAAACACACATGGCAATATTCCTGCTATATGACAGCGGTCTGTAAATAATTGAGTCTAGTCCAGGCAAACAAGTGATTGACCTCATGAGTATCGATCTACGTAGTTGGGATACGATGCCATGCATCAACCAAGCAAGCTAGCCTGACCACTCGATCCTGTTAGTTGCCTCTTACGACAAGTGTAGTTGCCACTGTCAACATGAATGTGTTACTGAAACCAATTCTAATCCGGATCTTCATGGGTCAGAAGTGATTATAAATTACAAGTCATTAGAAAGTGTATTTGATTTTACCTACTGCAAGTTCATGGACACCCCTCAATCAAAACAAAATGAATTTTCAGAGAATAAGGTCTGTGGTAAAATTATTGTTAGGCCAGCCTGACAGTCAAGGCCAAGCACACTCAGCAGGAATAGCAATCTACTTCCTCCAAGATATGCCTGCGGTTCCTGCCGGAGAAGTGCTGAATGATTCATGTACTGTTGGGTGTAATGTATGGGTAACTCATAGCTTCGTGTGTATACTCCATATGATTCAGGCAGAATTCTGAGGTTAGAAGTAATCTATACTTGTACAAGGCAACTAAACGAATCAGATGGTCACACTTAGTGACTTGTGTGTCATTTTACCTCGGGGGCGGTCGGGTACCCTTGTGGTTAAAGCGTTTGCTTGTCACGCCGAAGACCCGGGTTCGATTCCCGACATGGGTACAATGTGTGAAGCCCATTTCTGGTGTCCCCTGCCGTGATATTGCTGGAATATTGCTAAAAGCGGCGTAAAACCATACTCACTCACTCACTCACTCATTGTACCTCGACAGCATGGGAGGTGACTTATAATATCAATCACTGATATGACTGGTCTAGAGTTTATTTCCAGACTGCAGTCATTCAGCTAGAATATTGCTGAGTAAGGGGTTAAACTACAGACAGACAAACTCTGATCTGCGAGGTGATTTTGTTTTTGCACTTTCCGGTCCTGCTGTGATACTGTGTTGAAGTACAGTTGACATGGATGTAGCAGCAGTGTTGTATACCCAGGCAATGAGTTGAATGTGTAACTTGAGAGGTGAACAGGATTTTACAAGCCAAATAGGCTTCCAGGGGCCCGTTCCACAAAGCCATCTTAGCGCTAAGACTGACGTAAGTCTTTGTTAAAGTATGGGAGTTAGTGCTACGATCGCTTTGTGGAACGGGGCCCAGGTCATAAAATGCTGATCACAAATAACAGATTGTTTTTTGGTAAATATGTTTCTGTGACCTGAACATATATCTTGTGATTGGACTTTCACCATGGTAACGCAAAGCCTGGACAGGATCAGTTTTGATGCGAGTAGCATGTGATGATATCTTAAACAGGTTGCTTTACAACACAGCAACAGGCCCATCAGATTCTTTAAAAGCAATGTAAGTGTCCTACAGGTGCCATCTGCTTAATCTAGTTAGCACTGAAACTTGTACTGAATGAGCCTCAAAATTTTCTGGATATGATGAGATTATAGCTTCCTGATAAATTGACATACCCGGGATATATCATTGAATATTTCATGTTCAAAACATGAGCACATTTTATTTCCGTTTTTCAAGTATTATTTCCTAGAACATTCCAGGTAGTGAATGAAATTGTATATGCATCTTCCCAAGGCAAGGGAGTTAACTGACTCTAAAAGTCCTGTTTCCACCCTTGCCGAACTTTCTGGGCTGGATCGTAGCGCCATGCCCCTATCATTGACCAATTAGATTCCACCTCTCATATCACTTGCATTTGCTTCAATCAAAATGGCCATGCCCAATCAAGACGATCTGATCGATGATTTAGACATATTTTGTAATAAAAGTGCATCAAATCGCATGAACACCTTGATTTAACACATTAAATGATTTGAAAAATCTGTGTCATTGCCCAGTTGACAGTACATATCTTTTGCAAATCCTATAGTCGACCGAAATCTGCACATTGAAATCAATGTTATTTACAAAGGGGATGTCGATTTCGTTACGTAAGTTTGATTGGACTATGCAAAGACTCGTTAATTCAGCCAAAATATAACTCCATAATTGCAGCCTAGTTCGGCAAGGGTGGACTTTTACAGTCAGTTAACTCCCTTTCCTCGGGAAGGTGATATATAAGAGATGTATTATTAGATAGCATCAAGATGTTATCTTTCTTTTTCTCTTCTGTATGAACGCAAGATATTTTTCCACAAGGATGTAAAACACTATAAGAAGTGTTCAATTCACAAACAAACTGAGCATAATTGAACTATGTCCGCTTCACCTGTTTCGGGGAATCATTTCTTCCATCAAACCAAAACTTGTATCAGATGAAATTCGACTGCTGGAGGATATGGCCAATATGTTTTTTCAAGGAATGGATAGGTCATGTTTTAACAATTTGTATTTTTCATCCTGTCTGACCATTTGCTAAGCAGTAAATATTTCATTTTACAATCTTCTTAAATATCATCAAATATAGAAAACAGATATTACAAAATGTGGCGTTTACGGAGAAAAGCAGTTGTCCTTTAGATGCAGTAAAGGTACAAATTATCCTACTGCCTGTTCTCTCATGCCTGTGTTTCAAGGACAACAAAACAAATATGTATGCTCCAGAAAGGATGTTCTGAAGTAAACTTCATCCAACCCCACACTATTGATTTTCACTTACCTCACAATATACTTTCAGTATTGTGCCTTAATCATCATAACCAATTAGCTTCTTTGGCCATGCCAAAACAACGTTGTGTTCAAGTATTTCTCAAACTGCTGTGGTTTTTATTTATTGACGAATGATGTATTTTCTTGTTCAGTATTAAGAGACACAATGTTCAAAGGGTCAACAGCTTATTTTAAAATCATGACCAGCTAAATTTGTTAGCGTTGTTATATTGTCAGTCTCCATCAGTGTTTGTGGGAGACGTGAGAGAGGATGGTTTGAATTCATATCAAGACAGTTTCATGTAAATTGTTGATCAATATGTAAGCAGTTGTGTCACCCAGGTGTTTTTGTGACATGACTTGTTCGAGATCGGCTGTTACTTAACCGCCATCAATACCAGCTACAATGGTAACTATGCCAAACTTGCCTGGTATGGCTTTCACAACAAATTCTAATTTGGCCAGACCAATTTAATTTAAAATTCTCCCAATCAGTATTGAAGTAAAGTGAATGGTTACCAGTAACCCCAAAAGGTTTGTGTATATATGCACAAGAAATATGGTAAAGACCACAATTAAAGTACGGCAAACTATGGTTATATTGAACTCAAGGGACTGCTAATTTTAGTTAGTAATAACTGTAGTTTGTTATAAGCATATACATACAGCATATATACAACAAATGGCCAGGACTAAAAAATAAGTTTGTTATATCGGTCAGTTCGTTATAAGTGTGTTCGTAATAAACGTAGTTTACTGTAATATATTTTGATTTAATTCCATTTATCAGTGATTATTTTTACATTAAATATTATTTTTAAAAAGTGTATTTGATTTATTTTATTTGCCCTTCAGCAATGTTAAAGTATTTTGGGTTTAAAAATCTGTGGAACAAGTTATTAATTTGGTCTGGCCCAAATAGTAAGTAGCTCCAGATTCCAGGTAATTAAACGTCTTAGTATGGTTGGACTTGTTAATAGGCAGTAGTATCAGCTTGTTAGTGGACACATTGTCCTGATGTTGGTCGTATGTTTGCCAGATCTTCATTTGATGCAGGAACAGGTTGTATATCTTCCAGCATTGTGACTGTCGTGAATAGCTGTAAATTTGCTGATGTGGCATAAAGTGATATTTATTCATTCATTCCAGTCTAGAAGTGGTATCTACTAGGGTGCTTTCTGTGTCAGCACCCTGCCCAGTACAACCCCAAGGTGCTGATTCTCTTTATATTCCCTGCATACCATGCACCCTTTTGTGTGTAATACGGAGAACGTGCATCTGTTGAGTACAGCATAATTTATGTGAATTCTATTTTCTTAAGACTCAAGTTCAAGTTCTAATTTCATGAAAGGATATAAGCCCAGCTGAGGTCAACATCTGATCCATAATTTTTCATTTACTGATCCCTTGAAACCTTAACAGTAAAATCTATTTCCCATTCTAATTAGATTCCTAGAACTTGCGAGCAACCCTGTAGGCAATCAGACAAGAATGAGAACACCCAAGTCAGTGTGGTTGTTCTTGGAGTATGCAGCAAACTGTACTCACATTGATAAAGTACAGGGAAAGAACTCAATATTAAGCCAATTTTGCTGGGTCTCTCTGCCTAACCTATTTTCATCAGAAATGGAAGGAACTGTTTTTCCAAATTACTATTTCTTCCACCGACCAACACAAAGATAACTTATTACCTACCTAAGTGTTTTTAGAACCA